GTTTGAAAAGGTGGTAGAAAAGTCAGAATATCGTGGCCAGCATCTTGAAATAGTATCAACTCAGCTGGATGCATTCACTGTCTCTGTGGAACATTTTGAGGAATGGTACATCGAAATTGTTGAAATTGTTGAATCTCGGGAGGTCCTGTCTCTGGATGTGGAAAGGTAAACTTTCTTTCTTTCTTTTTTCAATATCTAGAGCAAACCATTACACTGCTGTTTCCACAAACATCAGTTAGACTGCAAGGGTAACATCATATTTACCTGCTCTTTTATGCTACTCTTAAATATACCGTATTATAACTTGCAGCTATGCACGGAAGATTGACGAAATCGCTCGACAGCGTGATTCACGGTCAGATGACTTTGATGGTATGATAAGGACTGGCAGGGAAATGGTGACTAAGAAGGATGTCACAGATACTGCTCCAGTGAAGGACAAGATCAAGGTTAGTTTTACAATATTGATAGTGTGAGTCTTGTGTCAATAATGGAGGTTGCACTTCGTGTGTTTAGCCCCCCCTTTTTTACATTACAAGTTCTAATGGATAACTGCTTCAACAGAACTTGGAGGGTCAGTGGAAGGAACTTAATGATACATTAGATGAAAGAGCACGTAATGGCAAGGAACGTTCAGAACAACTACTGGCATATGAACAGCTTCGTGACCGCTGCACACAGTGGCTTACAACCACAGAAAATACTCTGGATAATGCTCAACCTGTTGGTTTGGACCAAGAAGTTGTCAAGAGGCAGGTTGATGACTTGAAGGTAAGAAATGTTAAAAAAAATTCAAATACTGTACTTTTTTTTTCTCTTCTCTCAAAATTAGTATACCGTACAATATTTTACATTGATGATGAAACCTGAAGAAATTTTTATACCTATGTAAATTTGTGTCACTTGCAGCCACTCCTTAAAGAGTACCGTGAATATGGAACCACATTTGACAAACTGAATGAGCTAGGAAATGCCTATGATGCACTGCTACGTGGAGAAAGGCCAGAAAGTCCATCAAGAAGACGATCGTCTGTGACTCCAGTGAAGCGCCCATCCATCACTTCGCCTCTAAAATCTCCAGGTAAGTTTGGTCTTATTTATTTTTATTTTTTGAATGTTTGAAACCCGTTGAAAATGTTGACTACCTAATGATTTTTCCACTTTGGCAAACCTTCATGCTTCTGCTTTTTCTTTGTCTTGTGTGTTGTTACTGTAATGATGTGTTTGTGTGAAGCAAGAGTGCAGTTGGTTTGTCATTGTTAGTTTAATAATTATGCAACTTGGATTTGGTTTTATTTTGACATTCTCATTTGTAAACTTTAATTCTTATAAAGAAATCGTCATAAGTCTGGTGTTCATGATACAGCAATTCGAAATATTAGTAGGTACAGTATAGTACAATAATTTGACGTGCGCGATGTAGGAGAACGCCAAACAAGAATAAAATACCATATGATGAAGAAAAAGGACAAGTTTTCAAAATAAAGTGAGAAAATTATCAAGCTTAGTCTATCTTTACACGAAAAGGAATAATCTGTATTATCAATACTGTACTCTGATAATTAAAGATCAAGGAAATAAAATGTAAAAAAAAAAATTACTCAGTCTAAGGAAATTAATATGACACTGCAGATTTAGAGAGTTTGCCAGGCATTGCAATAAGTGGTGTGATTAGAATAGTGGATGGAAAGCGTGGTAAAATCATCGCTGTTTTCACGCGTAGTTTCTGGCAGCAGTTGTAACATTAGGTCAATTTGACGGTACTTAACTTTGATAGAAATTAGTCATATAAGTTTATGTTGAGTAAAGATTCATAGAGAGTGATAGAGTAATTTTTATGACTATTTACTGAATGGTCTTCTAGAGATAGGGAATAATTATTACATATATAGGATTATTTTTAGCATTCTTGTAATTTTGAAAAAAAACACAAGTACTGTATATTTTTAAAAGTTTCTGCTGTCTCTTTATGCTTACATTTTTATAATACTTTTCAGTGTCTCTATCACCAAAATTATATTATAATTAAAATAATTTTCTAAAGTTTCAACAAGGTAAACTCTTCTCTCAACGAAGATTTGTGCTGCACGTTGAAAATTTATCATGATGTAGGCTGTACTGATATTTTCCATTCTTGATTTTACCATAGGCTTCTTTGTTATTATCTGATTAAATAAATTTCTGCTTGCTTATTATTTTCTTTCTATATTTTCACATGCATCGAACACTGTTCAACGTTATACACAAGATTCTATGTTTGTGTATGCCCAGTTATATGCATATAGCATTATCCATTCACACACTTCAAGCCACAAATACATGAACACATGGATATACACCCATGCACTATATCATTCCTAAGTCTTTGAAAAATGAACACTGGGGAATGGGATCAGACAGCTTCAGAATTTGCACAATCAATACATACACATTACTGTAATTTGGTATTAGACCTCTAATGTTATGTAGTTACATCACACTGAACAATAATATTGAAAATAAATAGATTAATCTTTCATATATTATTGCTTCAAGCTGCACTTTTCTAGCATCTGATGTAGAATTATGTCCCAGAACCTTTTCATTAAACCTTGCCATCAGTGGTTTCTTTTGAGTACCAGCTGTATTGTCTCAAATGGTCCTGGGTTCACTGGAGTGGATGATTGGGTTCCCTCCACTCTACAATAAAGAAATACACAGTTGTGTATACTTTTCATTGATGGAACAACCCTTCAATGGACTACCATTTTGCCAAAAGGGAAATGTAACCCACCGAATACTAAAAATCAGATTAACAACTATCCAGCTACCCTGCAGCAAAAGAGGCTTATATGGAAAAAAAACAAAACAATGCTGACTATTTGAAGGCATTTTAAGTCATTGATGATAAACTTTCGTTTAACAAGTAACACTGAATTGGTTCTGGGATGACTATAGAGTGCTTTACAATCCTTATGTTTTATTGCTTTGTATGGATGATGCATTTTGTTGGGGTTTGTGTGTGTTTGTAGTGAGGCGAGTGTCACAAGACGCACGCAGTCCCTCACCATCTCACAAGTTGATGGGCTTCAACGGCTCTGGCCCCTTGTCTCCCATCCCGGGCGGTTATGCTAGCAGACGCACGTCACAAGAAGGATTCCACCTTGATGGTTAGTCAGTCATGCCTGTGGTTGTTGCATGAACTTTGCCGGGAAAGGTTCCAAGGTTAATGAGTTATGCATGAAATTTCCAAGAGAAAAGAGGTAAAGGTTAAGCACTATTGCCAAGGAGTTGTTGATGCAAGTGTTTACATACTAGTATACTGTAGTTCTGTACCATCTTCCAATGAAGTTAGTTTCATTAAAAAAATGCATTTTGGCTATTATTTACAATGTTTGCTTGTATTCAATACTGTCACTGTTATGAGAAGTTTATATAAAGTAAAAAAAATATATATATAAATATTGTAAGCAATATGTAAATAGTGTTTGCTATGCTGCATATATTTTGGTGCTTTGGTGGCTTTTAGATTGTGTACCTGTATAAGGGATGTAGTGGCTGAGTGGATACAGTTCTCACCACCTGTCCTAAGGATCCTGGTTCATGCCTGGGTACCAAACTTACAATAGTACAGGTAGTTGGGAAGTGAAGTTGGTCAAATGCAGTGCCAGCCACACTGCCTACTTATGCACCAAAGGTTTAGTTGTCAGCGTGCTGTATCCACACTCCTGTTAATGGTTGGTCATGCCAGTAGTTCCCAATTTCAACATTTGCTAAGATTTTTTCTGAAATTGCAGCTTTGAAAATAAATTGTTTGAGTTGTAATACAATAAAGTTACTGAATAGAGTATGTCAGATGTTAATGTTTAACTATGCACTAGATGATGATGTGGTGCACATTCTAAGGTTGTCTTCTAATCCATTGTTTGTTTCTGACAGATATGAGTCCTATTCAGAAGGAGCTGATGCAGGTTAACAACCGGTATGATATGATTGGAATGAGGCTTAATGATCGCCAGAATGAATTGGATGTCATGAAGGATGAACTTAAGAAGTTGGCCGACAGCATACGCTCTGTCACCTTGGCTCTAGATAAGTCAGAACGCAGCATGCCAAGAGAAGCAGTACCTACCACCAAGGAAGAAGCTGACAAACATAATAGACAGTGTAAGAGTATTTTGGATGATCTACTTGAGAAACAACTTTCTCTTGACTCGCTGAAAAACCAGGTGACTGAGCTAATCAAGAAGCGGCCAACTGCCCCAGGTGCTGACACTTTACAAGATCAAGCAGACATTCTCAATGATCGATATAGGGAACTACAGGGTCGTCTGAAGGATCGCCTCACTTTCCTGGAACATACAAAAGACTTCCTTGATAGTTTTGACTCCCTCAACAACTGGCTTAATTCTAAGGACAGAATGATGAGTGTGCTTGGACCAATAGCCTCTGACCCTCGCATGGTACAGATGCAGGCTCAGCAAGTGCAGGTGTTGAGAGATGAATTCCAAGCACAAGAACCAAAACTGGGCGATCTCAATGATGCCGGAGACAAGATTATCGGTGTATGTGAACCAAATTCAATGGCTGCAAAGAAAATCAATGACAAGTTGGACAGTATCAACAATAAATGGACTGAACTCATTGGCCAACTAGATGCTCGTGATTCTGCCCTTAATGCAGCTTCAGATGCCAGCACAGACTTTTATGATAATTACAACAAATTACATGACACACTTCTCAAGTTGGGTGATGATTTTGATGAAGTTAATGCCAATGGTGCAGATTCAGCTCAACAAATCGAAGCCGTTAATACCTTAGGAAAAGGATTGGAGACGGCACGGGGTTCTTTAATTGATCTGGAAGGCCTTGGGGACCACCTTATATCTATTTTGTCAGATCCATCTTCCAAGAATGACATAAAGTCTAAAATAACTCAACTCAACAAGATGTTTAACAACCTTGAAAAGAAGCTTGGCAATCGCAAATCTGAATTGGAGGCATCACTCAGAGATGAAGAGATGTTTGGCCAGCAATGCCAGGATATTCAAGAATGGTTAGCAGATCAAGTGGCACACTTGAAAGATCAACTATTGGTTTCTGCTGACAGAGACACGTTATCAAACCAAGTGGGTGATTTTGAACCTATTTACAGGGATCTTATGGCCAAGGAACATGAGGTGATCATGATGATTAATAAGGGCAAAGAAATAGTTGCAAAATCATCTCGTAAAGAACTCAATCGCCAGTTATCAGAGACTTTAGATGCTATTAAGAAAGAGTGGGACAATGTACGTAAGACAGCTGTAGATCGCCGCACAAGACTTCAGAAGTGCATGGATACCTGTAACAAGTTCCACAGTTTACAGGACAAGTTCAATCCTTGGTTAGATAAGGCTGAGGAAAAGGCACATAATTTAGAACCTATTGCCTTTACAAAGAAAGCAATTGATAAACAGATTAAGGAAATCCAATCTTTCAAGAATGAAGTGTCACGCCATAGTGGAGAGTTTGAGAATAACAGAACAGGCGGTGAAAAATTTATTTCATGTACAGATACTGATCATGATGGAGTCCATGACGCCCTTGCCTTTATGAAAGAACGCTGGGATCAACTGAATGCAATTGTTTTTGCACGTGCACAAGATTTAGATGATGTTGCTGCCAAGTTGGTAGATTTCAACGACAAAGCCAGAGATCTCGATCATACTCTACAACGCTGTGGTGACAGGTTGGCTTCTCTTGATACCCTTGCTGGAACAGGAAAGGATGCAAAATCTTTGGAGAGAATGAAGGCTTTACTTGAAGAAACAGATGCACTTGGTAAACAAGTAGACCAAGTGAAGAATAAGGGTGAAGATTTGTGTGGTGCAGCTGAAGCCCTTGGGTCTGATGCTAATCACATTCAAGATGAGGTTGAAAGACTTGCTGACCGTTATGGTGATTTGAAAGGCAAGTTGGAGGATCGCTGTCATGATCTGGAAGAGGCTTCCCAGGCAGTTAATCAGTTCGGTACACTTGTTAAAAATATGGGTCAGGAATTGACTGGCTTGGATGACGAGCTTGATCGCATGGGATCTGTTGGACGAGATGTAAAGACTGTCACTGGTCAAATTGATCAGCTCCAGAGTTTCTTGACTAAGGTTGACCATAAGAATGATGAAATTGAGGATGCTAAGGCAGCTTTAGAAGACTTAGTCAGCCAAGGATTCACCAATACCAATAACCGTACTGCTGAAGATCAGATTAAACAGCTTAGACGGCAGCTTAAGAAAATCCAAGACCGTTGCGATGTACGAGGCAAGGACCTAGATACCGTTCTGAAAAAGCTTGAGAATTTCTATGGCAAATACAACTCTGTCATGGATGACATAAATGAAGCAGACAAGGATGGCGAGTCATTCAAACCTGTAGGTGCAGATGTTGACACAATAATCACTCAACAGGAAGAATTCAAACATTTCAAAGGGGATAGGGTTGAGGCCCTTGGGAAGCAAGTAAATGAATGTAACAAACTAGGACAAGGTCTTATTCAGAGTGCTGCTTCTGGAGTCAATACCCAAGCTCTGGAAAATGATATTGATGGAATGAATGAATTATGGAACAAGTTGAAGGAGATGATTGGTGACCGGGAGAAGGCTCTGGACAAGGGCTTAATGCAGTCTGGCAAATTCCAGGATGCTCTAGACAGTATGCTGCAGTGGCTTGGAAACTTTGAGGAAATGATGGAGAACCAAGCATCCATCTCAGGAGAATATTCTGTAGTTAAAGCCCAAGCACAGGAGCAGAAGTTCCTAAGGAAAATGCTCATGGACCGCCAAAATGAAATGCAAGCTCTGCTTTCCATGGGTCGTAATCTGGCAGCTGATCTGGAGCCATCAGAGAAGGCAGCAGTGGAAGGACAGTTGGACGATTTAATAAATCGTTTTGATGATGCCAATGCACGATCACAAGAGCGCATGGAAGCTCTCGAAGAAACACTAAAGGTTGCAAAGGAATTCCAAAATAAACTCAATCCTATTACTGAATGGCTAGACCGTACTGAAAAGAAGTTGAAGGAGATGAGTACCGTACCATCTGATGAGGAAAAAATACAACGACTACTTGATGAGCATGACAACCTTCATGATGAAATTCTTGGACAGAAACCTGCCTTTGATGATCTCACTGATGTTGCCACAGCCCTTATGAGTCTCATTGGTGATGATGAAGCCAATGCTTTGGCAGACAAATTACAAGCAACCACTGATAGATATGGACAGTTAGTAGAAGACTCTGAAGTTCTCGGTCGCCTACTTCAAGAGTCCAAGATTGGTCTACGTCACCTAGTACTTACGTATGAAGATCTGTTGTCCTGGATGGATGAAATGGAGGCTAGACTTTCAAAATACCGCATTTTGTCAGTGTTTGTGGAGAAACTATTAGAACAGATGGATGAATTGACTGATCTTGGAGAGGAGGTAGTTTCTCATGAAAAGCAAGTAGCAGAGGTTATGGATGCTGGTTCCCACCTAATGAAACACATCTCAAGCGATGAAGCTCTTCAACTGAAAGATAAGCTTGATTCCATACACAGGCGTTATAATGATCTTAGTGCCAAAGCTACTGACCTTCACAAAGCTGCTAATGAGGCATTGCCTCTTGTACAACAGTTCCACAGTGCTCATGAGCGCCTTGGATCTTGGATGTTGTCTGTTGAAGGTCAACTCCAGAGCATAGACTCGTCTGGTCAAGGGCCATTGGAGGAAGAAATAGAGAGGTTGGCTCAAGAAATACAGGAAAACCGTCCATTAGTGGAGGCAGTAAATCTGGTTGGGCCACAGCTGTGTCAAATTTCCCCAGGTGAAGGTGCTTCAAATATTGAGACTTTGGTAACAAGAGACAACAGGAGGTTTGAACAAATTTGTGAACAAATCCAAAGAAGAATGGAGAGAATTCACATGTCCAAGCAGAGGTCACAAGAAATCACTCAAGATATTGATGAGCTTTTGGGTTGGTTCCGTGAAGTAGAAGGTCAGATGCGTGAGGCTGAACCACCTAGTGTGGACCCTGAAGAAATTAGAGTTCAATTGAAAGAACATAAGGCACTTAATGATGATGTTGCCAGTCAGAAGGGACGAGTACGAGATGTTTTGTCTAATGCCAAGAAAGTACTGCGTGAATCGCCACATCATGAAGACACAAGTGAGCTTCGAGAAAAGATGGATGATCTTAAGGAAACTATGGAATCGGTTTCCAAATTATCATCAGACAGATTGTCTACATTAGAACAAGCTTTACCTCTGGCTGAACACTTCTTTGAAACCCACCATGAACTTGATGATTGGTTAACAGCAATAGAAAGTGAGGCAATGGTGATGGATACTCCTGCTCTTCGAGCTGATAAAATCATTCACCAGATGGAGAGGAACAAGACCTTCCTGCAATCTATTGGAGACCATAAACCTCTTCTTGACAAACTCAACAAGACAGGTGGTGCTCTTCTGAAACTTGTTAATGATGAAGATGGATCTAAAATCCAAGAGCTTTTGGAGAGTGATAATGAAAGATACAATGCCCTTAAATATGCTCTCCGTGAACGTGGTCAGGCTCTTGAGGATGCTCTGCAAGAAACTAGTCAGTTCTCAGACAAGTTGGATGGTATGCTTTCTTCTCTAGCAGAGACTGCAGACCAGGTGAAGAATGCTGAACCTATCTCAGCCCATCCCGAGAAGATTCATGAACAAGTGCAAGAGAATAATGGTATTATTGATGATCTTGACAGAAAGGAGTCTGCCTTTGTTGCTGTAAAGGCTGCAGCAGAGGAGGTTATTAACAAAGCCTCACGAAATGATCCAGCTGTGAAGGACATAAAGACAAAGTTAGATCGCCTGAACAAGTTGTGGGACATGGTACAAATGGCAACAACACAGCGTGGCCAGTCCCTGGAAGATGCACTTGCTATGGCTGAGAAGTTCTGGGAAGAGCTACAGAATGTCATGACTGCTTTGAAGGATCTTCAGGAAACACTCAAGGCTCAAGAACCTGTAGCAGTTGAGCCTCAGGCCATCAAGCAACAACGTGAAGAACTATCACAAATAAAGAACAAGATAGATCAGACCAAGCCAGAAGTTGAACAAGTTCGTCAGACAGGCCGTGACTTGATGACCCTCTGTGGGGAGGCTGATAAACCAGAAGTCAAAAAGAACATTGAAGATTTGGATTATGCTTGGGACAATGTCACTGCCTTGTATGCCAAACGTGAAGAGAACCTAATTGATGCAATGGAGAAGGCTATGGAATTCCATGACACATTAAGGGTAAGTTTGTTATCTAGTTTGAACCAAAAATAAGTTCATGGTAATACCTGTACTGAAATTGGCAAGATCGCTATTGATTTTATTTATGCATTTTTTAATTACTAAATTAATCCTGCAGAATATGCTGGAGTTCTTGGAGAAGGCAGAAGTTAAGTTCATTGCAATGGGTGCCGTTGCTGGAGACATTGAAGCCATCAAGGGACAGATTACCCAGCTACATAAGTTTAAGGATGAGGTTGATCCCCACATGGTTAAAGTTGAAGCCCTTAACAGGTAATAAAACTTCCTTTTGATATTTCTACTAAATTTGAATATTTTGTGTTTTCATAATATACTGTACATTTTCATAATACTGTACAGTACAGTACAGTACAGTAGAGTCGCATTTTCCAATCTATTGTGCATTAAGCACATCTTAGATTTAAAAAATAAGGACTTAAGAATACAGTAAAAATCTAAATTTATACATAAAGTTGAAAGATATTGTTACATAAATATGAATTCAATATATAGAACTGGCTTTTAAAATGTTTATTTTTTTCACATCCTCTCGTGATATAACACCAGGAGTCTAAGAAGGCAAGTTAGGTTATTTTACTATATCTGTGGCTTCACACATAGCACATCAAGCTTTGTAGACACAGAAATGATTTTCTGAATACTTTTTCTAAAATATGTCTGTGCCAAGTGTTTTGCTCATGCCTGATGATGATGTTGAATGGGTTTACAACACAAAATGAAGTAGATTATGTAGTCTTTAACCCCCTCAGCTCAGCACACTGTTGTGCAGTGAATAATGCATCAGCAGTATAGTTTGACTGTCCGTGCAAATTAATGTGTGTGAAGTTATACAATTTTCTTCCTAAAACTGTAATTGTATGCAGTAACCATTTTTATTCTACATTAAATGCTATTCTTTTCATTTTGATTTTACTGTGATTTATTATGATAAAAAAGAATAATGTAAAGATTTTCAAATGCTTGCTTCTTTAATTACACAATATTTAGTAATCACCAAGATCCTGATAATTCAGTATAGTCATTGTAACCTCTTGGCTTTAGCTTGCGATTGCTAACTTGCCAATAAATATACAGTACAAGCATAGAAAATGGGTGTACTGTATTATGATACGAGTTAATTATCTGTTTAGGTGGGCGAGTGTCGTCAAGGACATAGGTCTCCACATAAATCATGAGAGAAAATGCAGATCACTGAATTCAAGTTAGTTCAAGGACAAGGTTACTGCTGATAGTTCAAAGGTTTAATAAGACAAGAGATGTACTTTATATATTTCATATACAGTAACTGTGTTTTTTGCATTGCCATTTCCACCATTTTGTTTGGAAATGCAAAAATTTAAAGGACTAGACACAAGCAGAGCAGGTACAGTTATTTTGTGGAGAATTTTAATCCGGTTTCATCTTCAGTGACTCTTGGTGATACTGAATATATATTATTGATACACTACTTGTCTCTTACTCTGATAATAAATGTAAAAAGTAAGTTGGGGGGATGAGCTGATGTCATTGGTCAAGTCCACCATATTGTCTGGTAAAGTAGGAGTGGTTGTTTTTATTTGACAGTCCAGACCCACTTTGCTTGGGTAGGTACAGTACTTGTTCAGTCCCCTTGTCTTCCATAGATCTTTCGAACACAGCAGTGCCTTGAGATCCTTTTTGACCGATACAGGAGAATCTGCTGATTGAGTTTAGGGGGTTAAAAAGTTACACACACCCAGATTTGCAGGGATTTTTTCCCCATTAAGATCCTAGTTTTTCTAATTCATAGTTCCTAATAGCAATAAGAAATTACGTGTGGGGAATGATTTTGATAAGAATTACAAATAAGTTTTGTCATGGTTTTGGATAATGTTATAATTTCATTGCAGTCTCATACTTTTTTTTTTAGTTAAATGCATGTTCATTTTTATTTTTTTTAGAAGTGTTACTTGTTGACACAGTTGCTTAATGGCTAGAATATGATGTTGCATGGAGCTTAATAGCTGTGTTCTCTGTAAATGTGTTATGACAAACTGATTTTAAAGACGTTTATTTTTTTATTTAATTTTTTTTGCAGCTTGTATCGCTGACAGAAAAGATAATTTAAAATATTTTAAATGTTACCCACGGTTGAATTAGGCTGATAATAAACTTTTAATAAAAGGTTAGCTGTTATGGTTAGGCATGAAAAATTATTGAAACAAAATGAGTTAATTTGTGCTGTTTTTGGAACTTCATTGAATTGGTGGTAAATATGAAGAGGAATTTTTTTATTTTTTATTTTTTTAAGATGTACAATGTGAACTTGTAGATATACTGTATGTTAAGTTTATATCAAATATTGTAAATTACAGACAAGCTCAGGAGCTGAAGGAACGAACATCACCTGATCAGGCAGCAGCTATAATGGAACCTCTGGGTGAAGTCAACCGACGATGGGATGAGTTGCTGAAGGGTATTGTTCAAAGACAGCGCAGCTTGGAATATGCACTTCTTAAGCTCGGTCAATTCCAGCATGCTCTTAAGGAATTGATGGTCTGGATTGAGCGCACAACAAAGACTGTAGATGACCTAAAGCCAGTGTTTGGTGATCCACAAGTTATTGAGGTAGAGTTAGCAAAGTTGAAGGTCACTATAAATGACATCCAGGCTCACCAGTCTAGTGTTGATACACTTAATGATGCAGGAAGGCAGCTAATTGAGGCTGACAAGGGCTCTGAAGATGCTTCCAATACACACAAGAAATTGACTGAACTAAACATAAAGTGGAGTGAATTACAAGATAAAGCAAATGGCAAACAGAATGACCTAGAAAGTGCTCTGAGAGAAGCTCAGATATTTAGTGCTGAAATTCAGGATCTCTTGCTTTGGCTGGGAGATATTGATGCAGCGTTGTCATCCTCGAAGCCAGTTGGAGGTCTTCCAGAAACTGCAAAGGAACAGCTCCTTAGGTTTATGGAGATTTATGAAGACCTGGAAGAGAACCGTTCTAAGGTAGAAAACACTCTTCAGCAAGGCCAGGAGTACCTTAAACGTTCTCGTGAAGGAGCTGCTACCAATCTCAACCACAGTCTGCGCACCCTAAAGCAGCGCTGGGAAAGTGTCATGAACCGTGCCAACGACAAGAAAATCAAGTTAGAGATTGCTTTGAAAGAGGCCAAAGAATTCCATGATGCCTTGCAAATATTTGTTGACTGGCTTACAGAAGCAGAGAACTTATTAAATGCCCAGCAACCAGTTTCTCGTGTCCTGGATATTATTCTTCAACAGATTGAAGAACATAATAGCTTTAAGAAAGATGTCACTGCACACAGAGAAGTAATGCTTAGTTTAGATAAGAAGGGAACCCATCTCAAGTACTTCAGTCAGAAACAAGATGTCATCCTTATTAAAAATCTCCTTGTATCTGTCCAACACCGCTGGGAGAAAGTTGTATCCAAAGCAGCTGAAAGGACTCGTGCTCTGGATCTAGGATTTAAGGAAGCTAAGGACTTCCATGACAACTGGAATGAATTGGTAACTTGGCTTGATGATGCTGAGAGTACACTTGATGATTTGGCAGCAAATGTTGGAAATGATCCTGAAAAGATCAAAGCCCAGATTGCAAAGCACAAAGAATTCCAAAAAGCTCTTGGGGCCAAGCAACCATCATATGACAGCACTATGAAGCAGGGTCGTGGGCTGCAAAATAAGTCTCCCAAGTCTGATGAAGAGACACTGAAACAGATGATGACTGACCTGAAGAATAAATGGAACAGTGTGTGCCAGAAGAGTGTTGATCGTCAGAGGAAACTGGAAGAAGCACTCCTGTTTACTGGTCAGTTTAAGGATGCTACCCAAGCTCTCTTAGATTGGCTCAAGAAGGTTGAATTAGGCCTTGTAGAAGATGGTCCAGTTCATGGAGATCTTGACACAGTTATGGCACTTGTTGAGCAACATAAGGCCTTCTGTGCAGAATTGAAGAACCGCTCTGTTCAAGTAGAAAGTGTGCGTCGTACAGCAGATGAACTGTTAATTAAGGCTAGTGCAGAAGATGCTGCTACTATTCGCTCACAAATTACCGAACTCGTCAGTTCATGGGAAAAAGTTGAAGTGGCAACAGAAGTTCGTACTAGACGCTTGGAGGAAGCCTTGCAGGCTGCTGAACAGTTACATAAGGTTTGATTGACTTGCAATGTATTAGGTTACAAATATGTAAAATAATTGAAGTTTGTAAAGGAAAATTTCTTGGGAATGCTAACTATGTACTTGGAAATAATTTTTGGGGCTAAGACAATTAAAGAGCCAATATTGTATATCGAGCCCTTGTTATAACCCCTGCATCTCATGAAAGTTTATTTCTCTCCTATTTCAGGTTGTACACATGCTCCTTGATTGGCTGTCTGATGCCGAGATGAAGCTCCGGTATGCTGGACCACTGCCAGGTGGTGAAGAAGAGACAAGACAACAAATTGCAGAGCATGAGGCATTCCTGGCTGAACTGAATCAAAAAGAAAGGGAGAAGGACGATACAATTGCATTGGCCGAAGAAATTCTTGCTAAAGCTCATCCTGATGGTGTTGCAACTATTAAACACTGGATTACAATCATCCAGTCACGGTGGGAGGAAGTTATGGCTTGGGCCAGGCAGAGAGAGACCAGACTAGCAGACCACCTTAGGAGCCTCCGTGACCTTGCTGGACTACTTGATGAACTCATGCGCTGGCTTGTTCAGGTCAGATAAAAAGAACTTAGAATTATTATTGTCGTATTTTGATATTGATATGTTATTGCAGAGTAATTCACAATGGTAAAGTTATGAGGACTTAATTTGAAGGGTATTAATTTTTCTCACCTTATGACATATACTTTTATCTGTTGTTTGAGTACAGTGAGTTCTGCTATAACGCGTGTTTTGATAACGCGAATTTGCTCTAACGCGATTTATGAATTCGGAACAATATTTGTATAACGCGAACGCTTGTTTGCTATAACGCGATTTTTGCTTACTATTTCTCCAATTTTGTGGTATTAACTGTGAATATGGTAAAGAAGAATATCTCCAAAAAGCGTTCTGATGATAGAATTCCCGGTGATTATCGTAAAAGAAAGGATATAACACTTGAAGAGAAGCTCAATGTTATCAACCTCAAAATCACCCTTCTCCCCCATCAAGTTACATTCATATTTTTTCAAGGTAAAGTGTTAAATTTACTGTATGATTTCATTATTAGATATGAATGTAACATTTATTTAGACTGTGCTATCCTTTGTGTTAGGCTAACTACTAAATTTTTTCGATTTCGAGCAATCTGCACCTAACCCTATTTTCTCCATAAGCCCTGTTATTTCTATTACGCGATTTTCTATAACACGATATTTTACAAGAACACAATTATCGCGTTATAGCAGAACTACCTGTACTAGTAGTTGTAATTAAAAATTTTTCATTCAATTCCATGCTTCATAACTGTTATTTTCTACAATGTCTTTTATATATATGTATTTAGGCTGAGAACAACTTGACAGTCTTGGAAGCTGAGCCTCTACCTGATGACATCCCAGCCATTGAGGGTCTCATCACTGACCACAAAGAATTTATGGATGAGATGCAGAAGAAAGAACCTGATGTTCTCAGTATTTGCAAGCCAACCAAACCTCGACCTTCACTTTCACAACAAGGCAAAAAGCGCTCAAGAGCATCTATTGGGTGAGTTGTTAAACATTAATCAAATATTTAGTTTTTGTAAGCATAACACATAGCAACTAGTTCCTTTATTTTGTGTTGTGTAAGGGAATATTATTTAGTTGCAGAAGCTTCTAGGTGCTAACAGTAGTTAGCATCCTCTTGCTTTGTCTGTGGGTGAAAGAATAATTTTTGTTTTTTTCACATACTATACAAGGTTTGCTTAAGCATGTAAACAATGGCCTACTCTTTAAGTTTAATATATTTTATAGAATATTTTGTGGAATTCCTCATCATAGTGCATCAAGCAGTGATAGTTTTTTTCATTTTTTTTACATCGGTGGGCTTTATATTTAGAAGTTTTTAGTTTTATTTCTTCCTAGTGAACTTTCTTATGAATATGTTTATACGTGCATGGATATGTTTTTGGAATACACATCTGTAATACTCTTGTGGCTCTAAGTATTGATATAAACTGTTTAAGTTTTGAGCATTTCACCATAACTTTTGATGCTTCAGAAAAGAAATGATTACAGTAATAATCATTTATGCTTGAATAGAAAGATTGGTGTTTTGGGATGGACTGCTGCTTATGTCTAGTAGTTAGGTTGTATGAGGTGACTGTGACTGGCATAAATTACATGGAAATATTTTGCTCTCGTTGTGGAGCAAGTGCACACATGACTGAACATGTTACTTCATATCAATTAAATGAATAACAGTGACTGAGTGTCTGAGTTACTCTTGATTCTATATTCCCTGTGTCTGAGAAAGAGGGCTTGCTAGATTAAAAATGAATAAAAGTTATATCACAAAACTTACAGAGAGAGATTGACTATTGTCAGAAGAACAGTAGTCCTACAGTCCTATGAAAATATCATTATATTGACACTTAATACTCCTGTACTGTTTGTCTGTCTCATCTACTTGTATTTTTTGAACTGTAGTTTATTCTTCAGGAAGGATTACCTTCATTTCTTTACTTTTGTGTTAATTCGTGTAAACTGTAAATAATTGTCTTCTAAAGTATTCAAAGTAGGAAGTATATTGTGTTGTTAGTGGGGTTTTGTTGGTTGCATGTGGAGTGGTGCCAAGATGTAGTGGGGAAGTGATGTCTTTCAATACTTAGAAGTCACTTGTGTATTCAGTGAAATATTTTCCAAAATGCACCTGAGCATCAGTCTCACACTCAGTTTTCTTGTTTGTGTAGCACTGAGCACTTAGGTTCTTTCATTGTTGCTTTTGTTGCACAGTGCATGTGTTCACAATAACTGTATTACAGTCGTGAGAGTGTGAGCCCAGGAAGAGAATCTTCGCCTGAGTATGATTACCCATCACGGCGTTCCAGGTGAGACTTAGAATTTAGGGTCGCAGTACGATTTGTCCTTCTCTGGTGATAATTGTACTGAAGATTTTTTCTCTTTCCCTTCCGTAGACAATGAAACTGATTTGATTATAGATTGGTACTAATTGTATGAAGAATCACTATTGAAGGACAAACTGTTTCTTATGTACTGCATTCGAAAAGGTGTTTCATCCTTATTTTTGTACAGTAGATTAAGGATTTTGTATTGGTTGACTGTGGTGTATATTTAATTTGACTTGCTTGATGCTTTTATTGAAATTATATAGTGTTGTGCATGAGGTATGATAATTAATAGTGGTGTGTTTTCTCCCTCTTTTTGTAGTCGTATCAGCCCAGATCGAGAATCCTCCCCAGGACCTAAATCTCGAAAGTCCAGGTAAAGAAGAGAATCCTATCTACCTTCTTGCTTTTTTTAATTTGGATTGGATTCTACTAACTATCATAATACAGTACAGTATTCTGAAAACTAAGCTAAACAAGACTAACCTATTGGTACACATTTATTGCAGACTCTGTTCTTGGAAACTTATCAACGCTTTTAGTTTTATCAGTGCAGTAACGTAGTACTGTATATTATTTCCAGACATTTTGTAAACAAATATGTATAAAGTTGCAGAGTGAACCCCAAAGTTGCAGATTGAAGATATAAAATGAGCTTCACATGTGTGTTCTTGAACTGAACTGATAATGGAAACAAAATTTATCTATGTACTGTATATAAATTTGTACTTATTGAATATTTTAATGTTTAAAATAAGTATTTATAAAAAATCAAAAGTACCTGTAGAACACTATAGATGTGTTGTGAACATATATTAATAAGTTTGGAGCTTAATGTTATTAGTGGACAAGTTGAGGCATATGGCAGGAAACGGTAATATTCACAAATATTTTTGCGAGTCCAAATTTTAACTACCTTGGTACTTTGCGATGTAGAGTTTTGAATAGGAACTGCTTGTACTGCTCTCGGTTACGCAGTTCTATCTAGAATTTTAGATCCTGTAACAATGGCCTATGACACTACATGTACATTCATTTGCAATTGCCACCCTCCTGTATTACTTTTCAAAAGTAGGGTCTTTACAGCATAGTCTTAGGTAGCTGGTTTGATATAATTAAAAATTAAGCCGTATCACATGATTACTCTACTGCAACGTGGCATCTTGATACAGTAATTAGGAGAGTATTATCCTCAAAATTGGTATGAAATGAGTCGGAAGAGAGTAGAACAAGGTTTATAATAAAATGCATTGTGATGAATTGAAACTTGTGTTGCAGGAGTCTGAACCGTATTATCTCAGAAAAGTAAAACTGATGCAGGGGGAACTAGTAGGTATATCAGAAAAAAATTAATAAAACAAGGAACGAAATGATCTCTCATATCAAAACTATAACGTACTACTGTATCGAACAACTCGTGCCAAAATGTAGTTTCTAAAGTCTTTATTGTAGCAGATAATTCAGTGATTTTACATATGCAGATGGTGTCAGTGCAACTTTATATGATATATTTCAGTTTCTTATTTTCATAGTCGTCCCTTCCTGGATAATGAAATTGTTTTATTATTTAGAAATCCTCTTGTTGGAAGATTCAAGTCAAACAGTACAACAAAATGATCACTTAACCTTATTGAAATACAGTAATAACTATTAATATGATAACTGTTGGCATGTATGTCAGACTTTTTTATTATTGCATGAAGCAGAGAATAAAGATTTAGGTATAACTAATTAATAGGTTATTATGTATTACCGTATAGAGATTGAATGTGATAATTTGCTTTCTTTAGCCGTTCATCACCGGCACGTGAGATCACCCCCACTCGGGAATATCCTCGACCGTGGATGTATGGAGCAAGGTACACATACCCACCAAGATGAAACTTGTATATGTCATGATGTTTATATTAATGCATTTATATGTTGTATACATGTGTGACATTTACACACACGTTTTGCTGTAAACAGTATCCATGAGGACAGATTGACTTAGTTTCACCTCAAAACATTATTCTTTTGTTATACTATTCTTGTCAAACAACTTGGGTAAAACTATAAATACAAAACATTACCATTAGAACTACACCACCACGAGAGTCCTCACCCGGAGCCGATCGTGAAAGAGACTGGCCTCTCACGCACTTGCGCTTTGCCACATCCACACCAACGCCTTCTGCTGCTGCTACAGCAGGCGGGAGGAAGAGCAGGTTAGCAGCGACAAGACAGCTGCCAAACCTTTATATATTTCCTTATGTTAACAAATGCTATACCACTGGCTAATGTATGAAGCTAATCATCTCACCCCTGTACTAAGCAACTTTTCATTATACTTTACAAATCTACCAGCTGCATAATCCAAGTTGTAGTGTTAGACTTCATGCAGTACCTCACATTCACAACATAGTGTCAGAAGATGCCAACTAACAGCCTTGACTGATCTGTTTTCCATTTTATTCCTACTTTATTCTGAGTATGCCATACTTCTATCTATAATTGCTTTTTCAGGCTTAATTGTTAGTAAATTGTTTAGTATGGCGTTAGTAAGTAATTCACCGTAGATGCCATAGGCTTTCTTTTAGTTCAATTAAGTGTAGAAAAGATTCGATGGCAGTTTTTATAGAGTATTTATTATCTTTGTTGTTTCTTAATGGAGGAATGGTATCCTTTAATAGCAACTATAATTAATCTCACTGTACAAAACCTTCTTGGAGCTTCCAAAAGACCTCAAGTATTACTGCACTGTAAATATGTGCAATATACTATTATTCTCACTTAATACTCATTTTCCCTTTCAGCTCTTTGCCAGCCTGGCGTTTTCTGACTAACCGGCAGCCTCTTTTTATTTTATATTTGTTATTGGTTATATATGATAGGAGGAATGATTTTATTGCAATATGCAGCATTCTTCATGCCTCTGCTGCCTGTGGAAAATGGCATGAGCAGACTTAAGTTTAAAAATGTATATATATTTATATGATTTTTGGTGATGTCTGTAACATTTATTGCCTAAGTTTGTCTAGCATGGAGGCATTTATTGCTTTTGTCCAGAACCAAGGGTTTGTGATAAATGTATTTGATTTATTAAAAACATTTTCTTTAACCAACAGCAAAGCTAGTGTACGAGAGGAACCCCAGATCAAGAATCCTCAAGCTCGTGCATTATGGGAAAAGTGGCAACATGTTGGTTTCATGGCATGGGAACGTATGAGGCGTCTTCATGACAAGCTCAGTTACCTTCATGAACTTGAGAAGCTCAAGAACTTCTCCTGGGAAGAATGGAGAAAGAGGGTATGAGACTGTCAACTTTTAGTTGTCAGTAAAATTGTGTAGTGATTGTCTTCATTGTAGCTTTGCAAGACAATATTGTATTATAAAATCTAATTTTTCTGCTATTAAGCACAACTTCTTTGAATTTTCCAACTTAGATTTGGTATATTGAAAGACATAATTTGATTTCACATGTAAACACTAAAGTAACAAACTATTCTCTTCTTTTTTTTTCATGAAGTTTATGAAGTTCATGAATCACAAGAAGTCTCGAGTGACTGACCTATTCCGTAAGATGGACTCCGACAATGATGGAGCTGTTCCTCGTGAGGACTTCATTGATGGCATCTTAAAGACAAGTAAGTGTTTTGTAAAGTCATTGATAGCCTTTGTATAAAATACATGGATAAACATTGCATATAATCGCAGATGCATAATCTGAGAGGATTGGCAAAGTCAGCCTGAAAACATTTAAAGTAGAAGACCATGGTCGTCAACCCCCAGTAGACTACAGTAGCTATTAAACCTTTAACCTTAAATTTGGAAAACAAAGCATTACATTACTAAATAGACCTGCATTGTTGTCTAAGGCATATATGATGCTGTACTTTTTTTATTTTCTATTATTTTTCATTTCATTTTTACAAAATACTGCATTGGGTCACACCAGTGTACAGTATTGAGATTTCTGGCTTACGGAGGAAGAAATATAATTTTTAAATGGATGAAATATTCGATGCATTCCATGATACCACCTGTTATGTATACTGTACATTTTCATGTGTAATTTTATTTACAGAGTTCCCAACAAGCCGCCTAGAAATGGGTACCGTGGCCGACATATTTGATCGTAACCAAGACGGGTATATTGACTACCAAGAATTCATCGCCGCACTTCGACCCGACTGGGAACGCAAGGGACCTCTGACTGACGCAGAAAGAATTGATGATGAAGTTCAGAAACAAGTTGCCAAATGTACTTGTCGACAAAAGTTCAGAGTTCACCAAGTGGGCGAGGGCAAATACAGGGTATGTAGTATTTGTTTCTGTAAATCAAGATGACTTTATGGCCAGATTTAGGAGTTTTTTGATATACCCTTTCACTTGAATTATGATTTATACACTGAACAGTACACTAATAGTACTTATATATCTTTCAAAACACAAGTAGAAGTGCATTTGTATAGTGATTAGGTACTGTACTCGTGTATCCACAAATGAAAGCTGACTCATGAATAACATTTAGATAAGTCAGGATTTTTTATTGAGAAAAAAAAAGTCTCAGGCATATTAAAAAATTTCTTTTTACAAAACAGGGTGTCCAGTTCCCTATAATTTTTCAGTAATTTGATAGACAGTGAAGCTTACCCTATATAAAGCTGCCTTTATATCTTACTTGCAACAGTTCGGAGACAGTCAGAAACTTCGATTGGTCCGTATCTTGCGATCTACTGTTATGGTTCGAGTGGGAGGTGGATGGGTAGCTTTAGATGAATTCCTCGTCAAAAACGACCCATGCAGAGGTAAGTTATCTTTTGTTATCAATTATATATTAGTATTCACCTTGCAAACTTTACATGCTACTCTGCTGTCCTGTAGAATATTCAGTAAATTACCTGCACCATTGAAGATTTAGATAACATTGACATCCGGAGATAGTTTTGAAAGTTACATAGAGAATAGTGGATGGTTCAGAATGTAGGGACTATAAGAACATTTTAAACTATCAATTTTATAGTTATGGTAGGAAACATGAACTAATATTGAATTTTAACTATTGTTCACAATTCAAATTTATATCCCATATATAGGAACTAAAATACAAATGGATTTAGAGCATTTAATAATTTTTCGGTCCATAAGATGTTTTGTTCTTTTTTACCTCATTACATGCACGTCCATTGGTCTGTTTCTACAGGAAGAGTAAAAGTTTCCTTCTTTGATAATGTCCATTGAACTTTCTTTGTCTATCTCTCTGATACATAGATAATCTTCAAAGAAAACTTTGTGGCTAGTATTGATTATAACAATCTGAATTGATTGTTGTTATGTTGATTACAAGTTTATTAATAGACTGATTATGGTCCTTATGTAGAGCATTTATATACATTGTATTTTCTTGTGATGTTGTGGTCCACGTAAAGATGATTTAAAGTAATTACATTATAAGCTGTGATGGCTAACAGGTGATGGGATATATACAGTAATACGGAAGCGATCATAGACAAAGGGTAATCCTCAAACGAAGGACATTCTGTAAAATATATACAGTACACATCTATAGTTTGTACTTGAAAAATAGTCACTCACATGATCGGTATGAGTGTGTATAGAAAATACATACATTGACCATGGACTGCATTCACTCTGGATTTGCCCTTTAATTTACTGAAGAAGACTTGCAAGTGAAGTGTATCCATAACCCAAGCCAGCAATTCACAAAATCTGCCTGTAGCCTCAGCCAAGCTTGTGTGTAGCCTATTATGCTCAAGCCTTTTTTTAGAATTAGGTGTCAATAAGAAATAGATAGCTAACACAAAAGTGTTGGTACATATTTGCTTGTTAGAAGAAAGCATTGTTAATTCTTTCACAAATAGGTAAACACTTAACAAGTCCTATATGTGAATTGGAATATAGATCATCTTCTGACAAGCAGCATTAGCATGTGTTGATATGGTGCTGACGTAATATAAAATAACTTAGCTAAGTCCATGTTTGCTGCTGTTACATTGAATAACCGAATGTTAATAATTTTAACCGGATGTGCAAGTTCCATAGTTTACCCAAAAATTTGACAAGTAATTGCAACATTGTGCATCAAAGCCATTAACCAATTAACTTTTGTTTCTCTCTTTCTCTTTCTCTCCTCTTTCTCTGTTTTCCCAACTCCTTCAAACCCTGTAACCAAAATAACCTAACCCCAACCTTACAACCCAACCCCATTGTGCATGCTTTTTGCTGGGTAATTCTTATCGGTGGTCCTTAACTCTGCCTGCACGACCGATATTCACTGTTCTCTGGTAACATCTGGGTGATAATGGTATCATCAAATATTGAAAAACACATTGGTGTTCTGTGGTGCAACATCCTGCTTCTCCCAAACTTTTCCCCACTTGCTCTTTCTGTGCTTGCCAAAATTTCCATGGACTGCAGTATGTCCATCCATACCTGAATTAGAGCAGGTTGGAGATTTGGAACTTCATGAGCATGGGTGTCCCTTAAGAGGGAAGACGTCACCAGCCGGGTCCTGCCGTAGCTCCTGTAAGATTTTCGTATACAAAGTTTTACACACTTTTGATCAGTAAGAATTAGAATATTCCCATTGGCTCTTGATAGTCATCATGATTAGTGTGGGACAAATTGACCGGGATCTTTTGTTCATTTTGTAGTGAATGTTATTAGAATTAAGATGGAGCACCATTTTTCATTACTTATTATGGGAATTCACATAGTGTCTGTAATGGAAGAAAGATCTGTATGATCTGGAACAGCCAATCGGTCTTTTATTCTTTTTATTTGATATTTTTTTCAGGCCATAATTTGTTATCCAGGGAATGTTAAAATTAATCAGTTGAAGGAATTAATTTTTAGCCTCTGCTGTACAGTTAGCCAAACATTCTAGGTTATGGCCACCCAGAAAATTTGGATTAGTGCTTCTTCCATGGTTTAAGGGCTTTTAAGTAATTAGTGTGTTAATAGGTACAGTACAGTACAGTGTATATTTTTAAAATGTTTGTATTAAGTTGATTACCATGAACCTGGTTCTTGCTATAACCATTGAAAACCGCTTAATTAGAAAGGAAAATAATCATATGCTCATATATTTTAAATACTTTTTGTTAGTAGTCAAGCTGAATGGTGCTCCACTACAGTATTATTTTTTGTTGCTTCTCTGTGTCATAAACTTAATGGAATGACTTGATTAAATTAAATATTAGGGCCATTAAGGGCTGATTTTGTTTTAGTAGTTCCAATTCTGGGTGAAGTACAGTACTATAAACTTCTATTATTTTTGTCAAAGCTGCTTCCTGTGCATTCTAGTGTGTGGGGTACTTAAGGATTCTTTGTCTCGGGGCTTTTTATTGATGGTACTGTAATTGTTTGAAAATAACGTATAACTTTATTTTGCATGTTCCCTCAATAATTTGGAAAGCTTCCTACATATTTTGCACTTGTTATTGTCAGCACTATTTGTGGAGTCTGCTTTATTTCTTAAGTTTTTATTCTTAAGTGTATAACCAGAGTGTTTGTAATGAACATTGTTAGGTTTATTGGGGAGTTACTGTATACAATACATGTACTGTGATAGGCTGAAGGATAGTATATTTTTCTGCCAACACCTGACTTGAAACATAATTATTTAATCCCAGATAACAGTTTACTTTTATACTTTTTTAGCCCCAGATAACAGTTAACTTTTATACTTTTTTAGCCCATTACAAAAAGGAAATGTAATGCAAATAAGTTGTTCTAAATTCATTGCCCAATCAATTTAGCATGACTGGAAGTGTTTATGTATCCTGTTGTTTTGTGGCAAGTTCCCAGTGTACATGACACCATTGTTTTTTCAACCTGCAGGAAGTTTTGTTAGCACTCTCATGTTGTAATCCCTTCAGTTTCTAAAGCATGCTTGGGTCTCATTTTTTCAGGCATGTAATTTTTCCTTTGCAGTACTGTAATATAGCTTTCATTTAAAGTTTTCAGTTATCAGTGTAGTTGAATGCTAGTAGCATTTTAGTTTATTTGTTAATGGAGTGTCATTAGCTAACATGTTTGCCTTGTTTCTTTTCTCCGGTTTACCCTGCCCATCCCCTAATTCCCTTCCCATCCTGTGCCCCACTTCCTAACCAATGTTTTTCTGCAACCCAAATTTTACCTTCCTCCCCTCCCATCCCATTTACCACCAACCACCCTACCTTACCTATGCCGCGCCACTCTGCGTTCTGCGTCGACCCAATCTTGGCTGTATCACCATGACCTTATCTTGGGTCATTCCTTACTTGGGCTTTGAAACTAAACCCATAAATAGCCAAGGGTCGTACCAATGTGGAGTTACGTGAGCAGTTCATCCTAGCGGAGGGCGTATCTCAGAGCATGACACCATTCAAGTCCAAGCCTAGCCCCAACAGTTCAGTGTCAAGCCAGTCTGGCACTCCTGCCCAGCAGCGATCCCAGTCCCTGCCCAACTCTGGGCCCATTATGAAGGTCTGTTTTGTTTACAGCCTTTCCAGCAAGTGCCCACACTTCACTTCATTATGATAATACAGTAACTTAATTAATTTTATATGACTGGTCAAGAAAAAATACAGCTAATTATTATGAAAGTTAAGTTTGGTGCACTGAAGTATTAGTCTGGGAGTGGATGAATTTATCCTCACACTCCCACTTATCATTCAGATTACTTACTGCCTAACAATCTTTAAAAAAGGTGGTTGGATTGGCAGTTTCATTTAATAAATTATTAAGCTGGAACAAATATTAGTTTTCCAAGAAAATTTCAAATTTTTATATAAACAAACCTTTTGCAATATCCTTGGGATATTGTTGTATATACAGTATATTTATTTTTAAGAGGAAAATATTTTTGCAAAAAAATTTCTTGGAACACTGAAAACTTCTTGGACAGATAATGAATGAATCTCCATCGGGGCTGGCTGCAAAGCTTCTTATTATATTTTTACATTTTTGCATGCCCATAGCATGGTTTAGTTGTAAAATAAGAAGCTTTCTGGATGCCCTGCTTCTTACTACAGGTATGTAAACTTTGCTAGTGTAGTTAGTGAAAAAGACAAACCACAGTGATTTTTTATTTATTTATTTGCTGCTTTTTATGTTTTGTTTTAGTTAATATCATGAGTTTTTGCCAAATTATAGTTTTTTCCAGGTACCAATATATTTTACAAATTTAAACAAGATTGGTAACAACATAGAAGAGGATGTGGTCTCTTAATTTTATTTTTTTAATTGACATGTCAAGAAGTATCAGAAAGCTGCAATGGGGAAGTGCTAATAACTCAATCTGGTGTTGATATCAATGGCTTTGCATGTGAAACCTTTTTGTCATGACATGATTTTTAAGTTTGAAATATCACATACAGTACTTTAATCTAAAACCAATATTGATAACTTAACAATTTATTTTATAACACTGAACTGATCATTATTTTGTAGTCTTTCTTGGGATAGGCTACTGAGGGTCACCAAATAAGATATTTACTTATTTTCAATGTGGATATAACCAGTTTTTAAGTTTGTGAGTAGTAGCTGGATCAAAAGGTTGATGGGTGTGAGGGATAATGCAGATATGTTCCATTTATAAATGTTTGAATGACTACCAAATCAAGACTTCCTTCTGTACATAGATAAAGAAAGTATCATGATGGGGGAAAGGATACCACAAGGAAAACTTGTTTAAAACTTCATGCTTGTTACCTCAATAGAAATACCTGTACAGTAGTTCTAGTCTAGTTTTTTTTTTAATCACAATTATTTAAAAAAAATTTTTTTTCCAACTGTCTGGGTGTAGCCTAGATATTTTTTTAAAAATCCCATTGAAAGAGAAGAGTGGATGATTATGAATACTGTAAATTAAAGAATGACTTGTAACGGTGGCAGTAGAGCTTTGAAAGACCGGGAAGTCACAGACGATTGAGAACTTGAGAGAAAAATTAAATTTCAAAGTACTGGTCGTTAGATATTACGACCAAACATCTAGACTCAAATATATATATATATATATATATATATATATATATATATATATATATATATATATATATATATATATATATATATATATATATATATATATATATAATATATATATATATATATATATATATATATATATATATATATATATATATATATATATATATATATATATAATATATATATATATATATATATATATATATATATATATATAATATATATATATATAATATATATATATATAATATATATATATATAAATATATATATATAAATATATATATATATATATATATATATATATATATATATATATATATATATATATATATATATATATATATATATATATATATATATATATATATATATATATATATATATATATATATATATATATATATATATATATATATATATAATTTTTTTTTGGGGGGGGGGATTCTCGAAGTGAGGATGAGCCTATAAAATGTTATTAAAAACAGTACAGTATGGGGAGTTACATTTACTTTCTTCAGTTATTTATTTATGTAAATATTCAAATGAGGTGAATTGTATTGGAAAAATAATTAGTATTAGTTTTTGTTGTACTGTATTGTATTCAACTGCTTCAGTCTGAATTATTGGGTAAAACCATTCCGCATCCTAATGGAGCACCTTTTACATATTATATTATACTGTACTGTACATATAAGGAAATGTCTCTTATAATATTTTTTGTATTGTTTAACAGTATGGGAAAATTATGTCTTGCAAGTATTTTAGCAAAAGTGCAAAAATATTAATTGGGTCTTCATTGACACATTTCTAAATGCAGTTTCACTTACTGTCTCAAAATGGTTATTTGATCAAACACACCAAAACACACGTATGATGAACAGAAAAGCACAAACTGGTATAAGTTAACCTTTTAGTCGAGCAGAGGGAGCTGGGAATATTTTTTCAGTTGACAAAATAATACGTGTCCTCCAGCAATGATGGGAAATGAGAAGGCTGGGAAAATGAAGAGGACTAGGAATATTGAGTGGACACTTTGCAAACTAGATGAATTGCCAAGAACAATCATTGATTCACCCCAATGATTCTGAAAAATGTTCATTGATATAGCTTGACTCGTGGCTTTAAGCAAATTTACATGCTGTCTGTTCATTTTATCCATTTGTTATGGTATGTTTTTAAGTTTGAGTGATTGAATGTATTCCAATATTTATTTGCTTTGCAATTACTAAGTTTTATTGATTTGTCAATACTCGAACATTTTGTTCACACATTCTTCATTTGTCAAATTAAAGATTAAATATGGAAACAAAAATGCTCATGTAAAGAAATCTTTTCATTACTTCTTACTGATCATTGGTTACAGTTGATATGCTTCAGCAATGCAAAATTTAAAGGAAATATATGAAATATCATCTAATAACCTTTTTATGCCCAGTCTTAAGTTATTGAAAAAATTATTTATTACAGCTCATTTTGTTATGGCTGAATTGATGCCCCTCTTTGAACAAATTCGTCAAAGTGAGTGCGAGGGGTCTCACAGTGCCACTCTGTGCACTATACGTGTGGGACATTCTGTTGGCGCAGTATTCCACAGATCAGACTCCTCCACAAGCTCATCAATGGTAGGAGGCCAGCAGGCAGATGCGTGTGAAAATGTAGGCTGTGTTAGTTTGGATATATGTTCGTGTTGATGTAGGCTGTGCTAGTTGGATTCGAATTGCTCGTATTTTCATAGCCTGGTTTGGACTATAGTGTTAAATGTATCATTTCTTTTTTTAGCCTGAACTTGAGTACACTGCTACCATATTTGCAGATAATAGCATTGCAGTTTGACATTTGTAAATATTAAAATTATATTGAGGTTCATTTAAATAATTGTAAAAAATTCAGTATCCTATTTGTGAATATGGGTATGTTGTATTTGAAAATACCACTTTCCATGAGTAAAGTGTGTGCATTGTCACCCTGCATCTTTACTTAACATAGTTTCCCGTATACTAACAAACACAGGAATGCGGTGATCTTAGTTTTGTTGCGATGAATTCGAGCAATCTTTACCCATCCCCTGTAGTCCATCGCCATTAGTAACTTGAGCTTGAAACTGTAACGTGGCCAAAGTCTACTGTGTCTTAAGTTTTCAGCATGGCTGTGATAATATATGTAAACTTAATAAGAGCCTTGTTGAAATCTTGAGTTCAGCATCAGAATTAAGCCAACAAACTTTTTCTTTCATACTGTTGGCTGCGATTCTGCAGGAATGTTTTTGACATTTTATGCTTTTCAATATTCTGGTGTTAAAAGTTCATTGCATATTGAGAAATGAAGGTTGTTCATGTGGTTTGTCTTATCACACAAGCTCCTATTCCGGGATCCGACTCCCTGTATTCTCAAATGATGGTGGCATATCAACAAATGGTAAGTGTTTCTTTGTATTGATTGGCGATAAGTCGGACCTCAAAATATTTGTTCCTAATTTTTTAGTTTATTTGCAAAAATGTTTTTGTGCATTCTTTACATTTTAGAAATGTACTCTTGAACCTTACTATTTCACAAAAAGTTCATAGTTTGCAAGTTATGTAATTTGATCGATTGCATTTACCTAACAATTATATATGCTGAATGTGAGGTGTGTTACATTCAAAGTAATTACAGATTATAAACACAAACATACAGCCATAATCACCACCACCAATATTTTCTAGCCGTTTTCCTTGTTTGTGTTGGTTAGTGGCGATTATTCGATGGCATGGCACCGTAATTGCCATCAGGCAAATTTGAAGGAAGGTTTGTGGCTGGATGCCCATCGCCAGTCCACTTTTACAGACTAGGAACTCGGCATTATATGTAGGATTTCCAAGTGCCCTTCTGGCTGTCAAAGCAGGGTCACAATTTTCTGAAGTAGTCAAATACAGTACAGTTACTGTATTACCTACTTGCATATGCACTTCTTAAAAAATTTAGATTGCAGTGTTTAATTTATTACCTTGAAATTCTCATTTTTTGCTCGGCTATCAGTAGATCATTTTTCCCTTTTGCTAAACCATCATTCCTCTCTGAATATATCCAAAGAAAATCAGATTTCAAGAGTATTCTGGTGAAAAACTCGTACACACACACACACTTACATGTAGGCGTGCACCTTTTCTCTCTCTTATAAGTTTTGGATTCACGGATGATTGTGATAATAGTGAGGTTCTCCTGTAATTTTTACTTATTGTTGTGCAGTATTTTTAAGCATATGTAGTTAATTGTGCCAGCTGTTTTGCATTTTAGCTATTTTAGTAAACAAACCTGAGAATTGTCTGTTCAGTGTAGTTATACTGTAATGTAAACAATTATTTCTAAATGAAAAATTAACTGTTGTATTATATATATACATATGTATATATTTATATATATAGATTATTATTTTTATTCATTTTGCATTAAAAAAAATTAAAGTACTGTATTAAAAAAGATCCTGATATAGAATATGCTAATAGTTTATTGTTCACTGTATTTATGGTCTCACTGTTTAAAGGTGCGGGAGAGAACAGCAAAAAGCTCAGCCATGGGCCGTACTTCCTTCAGTGCTGGTACCCCAGACTCCTCATTCAGTGAGGAAGGAGGAACCTCATCTTTCCAAGGTGGTAAACGCAAGGCCTCTGCACCAGTCACCTCTCGCTCATCTTATAATACCTCAGGTAATATATATATACATACATACATATATATATATATATATATATATATATATATATATATATATATATATATATATATATATATATATATATATATATATATATATATATCCTAAACTGAAAAGAAGATTATTCTCTGAATTATTTTTATTGAATATTAATTTCAGTGACAGAATTATATTTCTAAATCTTCTCCATTGGCAGGTGAAAGTCAGCCAGGAAGCCGGACAGGGAGTCGTCCTCCATCACGAGGCCCTGGCTCACGTCCAGGATCACGTCCTCCAAGTCGTGCTGGCTCAGAAGTATCTCTTGATTCCTTTGATGGAGGTCGCACGCCTATGAAACGTACGCCTTCCTTTACAGGCCGCACACGTGCACCATCTAGTCAGACTTCTGGGGTTCAGCGGTCATCATCTCTTAGAAAGGTGAGAACATCTAATTCAATTAATAAATACTGTTTTCATATGCTTTTTTTTTGTGTCTGTAGGTTATTATTGAATCATCATTGTGAGAAAAAAGTCCATCATTGATTTGGTTGCCTTGGATTGCATGTAGCTATATTAATCCAAGAAACCTTCACGGCATTATAGAGGATCATCACAAGGTAAAGTTGAGTTTTCATTGGTGGTATTCTCAAGAACTCTTGTAGTTACTGACTATACAGTAACAGTGGAAAGTAAAAAATAATGCTCTATTAATGAAAAAAAAACTTCTTGACTTCACTGACAAAAGGACTGGATTTATATTCCCTCTTTCTCCTAATAAATAGCATTTTTTTCTCTATTAACTAGTTTCACCTATTTCTATCTTTAATGGCATGAAATGTGTCATTAATGTTAATCTTAATGGATTTTTGGAATTTAATGCTGAAATAGAACCTGTATAACATCGGTTTATGTAAAGTTGAGTGGTAGTTTCACCTTGTTTCAGGGTTACATTAAACTGATACTCTCTCGAAGTAAAAGAATTTAGAAGTCTTGTATGAAAGTTAATGTTGTAATTTATTCAGTGCCTGATGCTACAATGAATTTATTTGGTAACAATCAGAATTAAACCCTTAAATGGCAGCCATAATCGCCGAGTGTTACACGTTTCTCGTGTTGCATTTTGTGCACATGGGGGTGGTGGTATAGAGAATCCTTATTGTTGATTAAGGTTGAAAGAAACTTAAAATTTATTTGATATTGTAGTACATAATTATGATGATCAAGAATACTACAGTGAAATAGTATTGTATAAAGAGCAAGAAAATCCGCATCCTCTTTCAAGTGAAGCTAATTTCTATGTAGTTTGCTAAATCTTTTCTCATAAATAGCAAAATGGAGATACTGAATTGTTCTTGTAACTCTTCACTTCATGGCCAACAATACAGGTTTTATTACAATTTCTCTGTACAGTATATAAGACTTATGTATTAGGAGGTTTGACTAATTGGGACTTTAATGATTTATTTTACCAGAATATTTTCATAATTCTCTATATTAATAGCATATGTTAACATCTACATTTTCATCAGTATTTATTTTATTTATTCATACTTACTTCATAAGGTAGTGATGACTTACATTTCCTCTTGTTATTTGGAACTATTTAAAAAATAAAATAAGAAAAATAAGAATTACATGTTTTTATGGATTTATCTTGCATTACTTCAGCAAGAACTGTGTTAAAGCTAAACATTTCAACTATCTTGTATCCTATAATATCTGAACTAGACATTATACATGTTAACACCATCTGGTATCCAAAATTTTGGGTTTTTGGCTTTACTCACCCATGGGCCCCTCCCTTCCTCCAGGCCTCGGCCCCTGTCAAGTCCTCTACAGGCACTGTCAACGGTACAGGGACACGTGCCATATCTGTTTCTTCAAGGTAAGATTTACGAGAAAGCCTATTTCTTTTCATTGCTAATATGCTTTTCTGGAGCTATGATGCTACTTTAACCATGAGTGAGCAATTGTTTTAAATCAAATATTCAAGAAAGATTTAGCTGAAATTTTTTTTGTGTATGATTTACTTGACCTGCTTTTAGTTGAAAGGAGGAGAATTGCCTCAATTTAAGATATATAATTAGTGTTTTCAGAAAGAGTGACCAAATGAATGTGAAGATATTAGAGGGGTTTTGAAAGGAAAGGAATGACTTGAGATTTAGGGAGAGTAATATGTCAAAGAACGTGGTCCTTTCTATTTTCAGTGAGCAATAGGTCTGTAACAGAAAAATATTTGATAAAGTACAAGTACTTGATATAGTTATTGATAGTTAAATGTAAAATTTGAAATATTACGTGAGAAAGAGTAAGTCAGGAGAGAGTTGAAGCGCATATATATGTGCAAAAGAATAAGTGACAGTGGAATTAGGGGAAAAGAAGACAACATAAGAAGATGGTCAGTGCCGGAATTCATATGTGAGATGAGTGTTGCACTGTCTGTAAAAATGTGCTAGGGTAGTGGTGTACAGTGGTGCTTTTGCCTTTATTCTTGGAGAGGACTGTTAGAATATAGGCAGAGGTAGTAAAACTAAATGCATAGTATTATGTCTTGATAATAGATACTTCATATGTTACTGCCATAATTTTCAGTGATTGCATGCTCGTCATAATTAATGAATTTTAGAATTTTTCTGCTTTAGTTGTCAAGTGTGCTTCACTAACATTGATTTATATAATTTAGCATGAAGTGGCAAATACCTTTAATAAGTACAGAGGTTATTTTCTCCTTTGTTAAAAGAAAAACACATGCAGCACATTTGCTTCCTTAATTACATATGAACTAACAGGTCGCGTAGCATGACAAGGACTCCATCAGCATCCAGTATTCCAGTGGCTGTGGCATCCTCATCCAGGTAACCAGCCAACTAACCACCAGCCCTATGTATTTGAACTATATTGTGCTGGCATTACCTGCTACATAATCATAGTTTGCTATAAAAATTTTTGTGTTACTTAGATATTTGATACATCACACCTTGAGCAAGAAATCACTCTTTTTTCATATTTGTTATAATAATAATCTTCACCAGCAAGTCTCCCAGCATGGAAGTCGGGAGCATCATTAACAGGCCACCAGGTAGTTGAACAAACTGGCATATTCAATCTTTCATCCTGTCAGGTATTTTGGGTCTCCATGGGACCAGTAACCTAGTAAATTTGTAATGAGTGAGCTTGGTTAACTTTGTTACTGTTGCAAGGACTGGTACCAGAGATCCAAGATGTCTGACAGGAAGAATGGATATATGATCAAATATATTAGTTCTTTTATGCTCTTGGTAGCCTTTGGGTGACTCTCCATACTTCTACACTGGAGGCTTAAGGACAAGACGTGCTGGTAGAGATTAAAATGTTGTATGGATATGCAAGGAGAGTAGCGACCTATTGGATACAGTGCTCCCCTTGTTTTAATGTTTCTGGTTAATGCTCAGGGTATCCCCAGTCCACCCAGTTAGGAATGGGTATCAAACTTTACAGTAAAGGCAGTAGAGTGCAGTGCCAGCCATATTAACTCTTGGTATACCAAAAAAAAGTAGGTTTAGTCTGCAGTGTATGGTTTCTGCACTACTGCTGTTGGGCCTTCAGACCTGGAGGACCCACTTTCACATAGATATATGCAAGTGTTTGTTTATAGTTTATTGCCAGTCTAACACAGTACTCAGTGATCATAGAGTACAGTACTGTACTCCTGTAATATACTGTACAGTAACCAAATAATGTAATAAATGGGCAATGTCTATTTTGGCCACCAATATGGAGACTTCATATTTGTAAATGAGCTATCATAAAGCATTTTGGGAAATCGTAACTATAGAAGTAAATAACTTTTTTCAAATTCATATGTTCAACTTATTTTTCTTTTCAAAAGTTCATAATTTAATACCTGCATACAACATGCCCTTAAAATTTGTGGACCTCGATTATTCGTGGATGACACCCTGGATGTATCCAAGAATGTCTAAGGGTAGTTTTAAAGTTGCTGGCATTTTTGCAGTTGGGACAGGGAGCCATTCGTTCTAGAGACTAATTTCTTTTACCTATATTGTATATATTGTGTAGACAAACACACACACACACACACACGTATATACAATACAGGTAAAATAATTGTCCTAAGGGCAAACACATAAAGGGATTATACATTTCTTTGCACACGCGTGAAAATGTAACAACCCCCACGAATTTGAAGGGCATGCATATACTTAGTATTTAATTATTGATCTTTAATTGGACTAGATCTGCTTAGACCAGGTTTTAATAGACTGAGTAAACTATCAATAAAAATGGACTTATTCAAGACTTGCCTTATGGTTTCTCTAGTTTAAAAGTCAGTTGTATACGTGTCAAGAATTGCATCCTCCATCATTGGCTTTTTGTAGGCTTAATTTTTACTCAGGCCATGAACAATAGTCTCAGCACAACTATATTGTGTGGATAACCCATTGGTAAAGTTAAAAATATTGTGAAATTACATCACGATAGTTTGGAGATACAGTACAGTGGTCCCTCGGTTAACGAACACAATTCATTCCACAGAGTAGTTCGTTAACCGAAAATTTCATTAACCGAAACCATTGTTTCAATAGGATATTGGATAATTGGTTCCAGTTCACAGAAAAGTACATACAAAGAAAAAAAAATGCAGGAAAGTACACTTACTTTGAGGTGTGTATGTAGAAGGTTCCTGGTTGATGATGATGATCGGAATTAAAAGTGGGGGTGGAGGAGAAGGAAGTGGGGATGGAGGAGAAATCACCTTTCAGGGGACCCATGCTTGATGCAGTCATTTCACCAATATAATTTTAAGTTCACTAGGTGTAATTCAAGATTATTTGATTTAAAATTGCACTGCACTATATATAATCAATATGTTAACTAAATTTCAGAATGACCAATAATTTCAATGTAAAAAGTGCAAAAATATTCAAGACCCAAACAAATAGATGTTCACTCCACTGTCAACAAAACCAAACTGACGCCTGGTGGCTGAGTCACGCGGCTGATGGGCGCACAAAAAACTAGTTCCCTGTACTGCATATATTATCAATATGTTAACTAATAATTTTAATATAAAAAATGCAAAAATATTAAAGCCCAACTTTCTTGATATTTACTCCACTGGAAATGAATGTAAACATAGAACAGATTACTGAATTGGCAGACTAGCCCATCAGCTGATGCTCACAGCAAAACGTGTTGTTCGTAAGGATTTCGTTAATCGAAGTTTTGTTTGTTAACCGAATTGAAGATCTTTATGGGAGGTAATTCGTTAACCGAAATTTTGTTAATCAAACAGTTCGTTAACCAAGGGATCACTGTATTAATTTAGTGCACCCACTTAGCTATTTGGGTTAAAAAAAAATTAATACTGTATTCAGTTAGAATTAGGTTTGAGAAATTTATAGATAGTGTACAGTAAACTGTATACATGTATATTGGACTGGGTAACCCCTTTACATCTACCTTAATAGTTTTTTCTGCAGATACCTTAGACCAACCAGATCACAATCATTGTTTTTTGAACTCTATTATTATTGCATTATATTATTACTCATGGCTTTCATATTATGTTTATTGCATATGGTCAAAATTATAGCACACTTTTTCAAGAGAATTGAAGTTTATAAAAACTATGATTATATCAGGTGTTTACAGCAAATTCTCGGCACCAGAGCAGCACGAATATTGAGCACCCTTTGGTTCTTTTCTCTGAGCACTTTTTCCCAATACTACAATTATTTTTAAGAGATCCTGTAGCAAACGTGAAATATTTAGTAATTTATTCATGCACACTTTCATGAAGATGCTGTAGCAAGTGAATGGGAAATTACAATTTGTATTTATTGAAGGTAGATCAAACATGGTAAGGTACTTCATCTTAACACTTAGAATGTCACATGTGATGGTGGTTATTTCATTTCAGCAATATTTCCATTTTCAGAAATTACAAAGCTGGAAAGATGCTTTCTCTACAATTAACCATATACACACTGTCTACAGCTTGGTAGCATGGGGTGCATGAACACTAGACTTTCCCCTGTAGTCACCATGTAAAGTGAATACTTAACGTCACTTCTGATAATGCAGTTTATTGTACATTGTATGGCACTGAACTAATTTTCCTCTCCAGGTTATATTCACCGACTCTCTCCAGTCGATTGAAAGAGGCAGGAATTAGGTAAATCAGTAAGCAGTGGCATGTAAACCCTACTTTGACCCTATCCTTGTATTGTGGGAACCTTCTCTCTTCATTTTACATTTTTCATGAACAGTGATTTTGAAGCCCCTCAAAATCCTGACTCCATATAAAAGGAAGCATTCCATCCTAAGCCCTACTTATACTAATGTAAACTAACATTGTTGAATTAGTTATAAAGTTTGTGAATATCTGCAATTAGGCTCAGTTTACTAAAAAAAAATAATTTGAAGAATTAAATCCTTGTTCATGGTATAGTTAAAAGAGAATATAATTTTCCTTTCCTTGCTTATTACTATATTTTAATTATTAGGCTACAGATGCCTTTAATTTGCACTGAGAGCAAGCAGTTCAGCTTAAGACTAAAAGCAATGCATGTATTACCTGCTTCAGGAATCTTCAAATTTTTACGGTTATGTAAATTAGATGTACTGTATTGAATTTCATGACATGGTTGGGTAATCAAGATACTAAATGGTGGTTGATGCTTCTCTACAATTATAATGCTTTGGCTGTAACATTGTGAGGGAAAATATACATAAATGCTAAAAAATATCGTCTGGGACAGGTTTAGAATGCTGTTAATTTAAATGGTTTAGAATGCTGTTAATTTAAATGGTTTAGAATGCTGTTAATTTAAATGGTTTAGAATGCTGTTAATTTAAACAGTTTAGAATGCTGTTAATTTAAACGGTTGAGAATGCTGTTAATTTAAATAATTTAAATACAGCAGGGTGACTACTCATTTTGCTGTTGAAATTTGAAATTGGAATGGATATGGCTTTTCAGGTGCAATCTCAATATGATAAATGCTGTGCTGGTTTGTGTGTGGTATTTTGGTGGGTTCACATGGTTTGTTTGTCAAGTCACTTCACAGGGTTTCTTTCTCTCTAGGACCAAAATCCCGGTTCTTGTGAGTCCTGCCTCTGATTGGGAACGGTAAATTAGTGTGATGTTACTGACTGTTTGGTTCGGTCTTGCTCAAAATCAATTCACTGGGATCGTGGCAGAATACAGTTTCTATACCAACTTGAGGTCGATTATTAGTATAAAAATTTTGAGTTGGCTCCTTTAAACGAAGAGATACTGAAGTATTGGTTTATTTTGGTCTTAAGCAGTATAAATATGTATTTAATTGAGCTTACCATTTCACTTGAAAATTAATACTTTACTATGAAGCCAGTAAAATAGTTTGGGTTATTTTTCCTCAATTTAGGATGTTTCCCTTACGACTCATCTTTTCGAATAATTAAACCTCTTGTTGGTTTGGAAATACCGGTGTTTGGCTGCGAACTCCAAGTTTTGTTATTTTGGTCTTGGTGATTTGGAATACATGCTAGTTTTAATGTTACTTAATGGCCTGTGTTGCTCTACATTTTGCTTTCTGATCATATTTTATTTGTGTGCATGTTTTATTTATTTTATATCCATATAGGATTTTTTATACACTAATTATAAATGTTTTATCCCAATACACATAGGAATTGATGAAATATAATTTATATGGCTTTGCAAAATAACAGATGCAATACATCTGCATTCCTCTCATCCAGAGATTTTATAGTTTCTGCAAATTTGACACTACCATTAACAAAGCAGTGTTGTGCATGACTGAATGTAAGCTTTAGCAGTAAGTCATGCATACAAGTAAACAGGTGAAATAATAGTGTTTGGTAGTATGTATTGGTCATTATCATGAAAAGTTCTGAATGTATTGTAGCCACCTGTTTTGTAACAGTACATAATTCGGGATTTTTTTATTTTATTGCTTCATGTCAAATATAGACTAAATACTCGAGACATTTCAGTACATTTATTTATTTTACCATTATGGTTTTATTTTTACAGTACTGTATCTCCTTTTGTTCTCAGTTTGCATTTAATTCATATTTAACTGTAGGTAGTAAGTTGGGGTGTCCTTGTTGATTGGACTTAAATGTGATGAAATGTTGGATGTTTGCATGTTAAAGTTACTAAGTGAGTTAAGAAATAAAAATTAAATTCAATGAACTTTTCTGTAGAATGACATGCATTAACATTTTAATCAACACCAATATATTTGTAATAATTTGTCATATGCGCTATAAATTACATTGGAAACACATCAGTTTTGCATTAAAAGTCCCATATTAATAGAGTGGCATTGTTGCTGTTACATTATATTGTGGTGATGGCTTTTTCTTTGTGACCCCCCCCAGGACTAACTTATCTGGCTCCACATCTAACCTGAATGTTGCGGGAACACCCCTCAGGTAAAGAGGTCCTCCCCGACTTTGGCTGCTATTGTTTTGTCACTAAAAAATTATTTATTAATTTTACGTGCACTATGCACATTAAATGCAATAGCTACTTTTAAGCATTACATTACAGATGAGTTAATTCTTAAAAAAAAAAAATTATTATATTCCAGAATTTTGTCTAGCAGATGGTGATTTTATAACAAGGTGTAACTTTAACTGTATACAACCCCTTAGAACTCCTAAAGTACTCTCAGTTCATTTTATTATTTTGGGTTCTGTTTTTTGTTAACACCAATAAAGTAATTGCTAACAGTTCCTCTCATGTCAAATTATATACCATTAATATTAACTGAATTGCTAACGTGGGGAAGGTACATAATACGCAAATGATTTCTACAGGTCCAGAACTTCATCAACTACTAGTCTTAACTCCAATCATTCCACAAGCAAAATCCCAACTCTGAGGTAACTAACATGGGTTATAGAGCAGGCATGAGTACATTAGTTACTTGTGGTTGTTTGGTAGCATTACAGTTAGTTGTGTTTTGTTAGTCATGCTTTCTTTTTACATGTAGATACAGTACTTACTAATACAGTACATATATTGAATGTCATATCCAGATTCTAAACAGTTCCATAATTTTATGTAGTGCATGTTTTACAAATTAATAGTCACCAATAGCTAGGTAATGGATTTGTTTAGTTTTGTCATCAAAGCTTTCCCTTTAAATATAACTAATATGATTTTTTATTTACTTTGTGCCGTAGTTTTCTTTCTTGAGAGAAGGAGCATCATGGAAAGTATTTCAAAAGCAGTCGATGCTGTCTTCACCCCTAAACTGTCTGGATTGTAATGCCTAACTTTTAACTCCTTTAATAACTCTTACAGACAAAAAATGTCCGCCACACATACCACCACCACATCCAAGACTTCCACCACATCAAGGTAATCATCAAATACTTCTTTCCATATTTCTCTCAAAATGGAAAAAATTTCTGAGACTTGTACTGCCCTATTGATGTCACTTCGAGAGGTATGGAGTTTTGTCAATACAGTAATATAATTTATGATCATTAACCTGATTAAAGGGGTCCGAATTAATGAGGGTCGACTGTATATCTCACTAGATTAATTCCTGCATTATTCTTTTGGCACAGTCTTGATATCCATTTTTTCCCCTCTTGGTCATCACCATACTGTACTGTAGTTACTTTTTCCTGTTTCATTGATTTTTTATTCCATAATAAGAGGAGTAAATATTGTTCCAAGATCTTTAGGAGTATTTGTACACAACCAGTTAGGTTCTGGAAGGCTTTTTTACAACATAAAAGTATTGTAACCCAGAACTTTTGGAAACTAGGGTGTCCCTGTATCTGTTTCCTCTTATTCCGTTCATTAATTTACCCTGCAGAATGTGCACTTAGGAATTCATAAAGAGTGAAGGGAACAGCCAGTTGGAATTTTCACACTTAATATTTTAGGACTTACGCTTTAGTACGTACCTTGAATGGTTTCTTATTGTATTGCAAGTGACTGATGCAGATCTTCATCAGTACTACTGTAGTACTAAATGTGAAGTTTGCCAAATCAAATTAATTTGATTTAATTTTTACTCTCTGTTTAAGTGATTTACTTTGCACTTTTTTTGTATGTAATTTTCAGGACATGAGATAGTCAGGGAAAATTTTTAACACTTAAACTTTAATGATGCTGGCTGAGGGATAAATTTAAAATTATTTGTTATGTTGCTCTTCCTTCTATTTTAAAAACAAAATGTCACAAATTTATCATTTGTAATACTGTACTCACAATATTAGCTAACTGCATGAAAATACCAATTGGTCTAAACTATAACATTTCGCCTGTTGTAACAGGCATTAACTTTACTAGCCCAAATTCCAAAGGTTTTTCAAACATTTTAAGGAACTCCACCATTCAAAGGGTTAATGGAATTTTCTTTATAAAATTTTTTAATTTGCTTTATTATTTCAACAGGACTCGGACTCCTTCAGGTTCCAGCAGCACAGGTGGAAGTACTAAAATTGTACGTAAGTCTTCAGCAGCCTCTGACACACCATCTGGGGCAGCGAGAAAGACAGGAATCGTGGAACCAAGACGTAAATTATGAACACACTAAATTCCAAAATGTGAATGAATGTGGCGGGATGACCAACACAAGATGTAAACATTTTTCTTACATGACACCCAACACAAGTGAACATTCACAACCAACAAAATGACAATGTGTTTAAAATACATGTACAGTAGTGGATGCAAAACAATTGTGGTAACAGTGTATAGTTAGTCACCACTTGGAAATATTCATTGTACTGCTCAAGTTTTTGACTTGTTCAGTGCATTATTTGGAAAAAAGCTTTAATTGAACTGATCATAGTAATTATTAAGAGATCTCTTACACAAAATTCATCTTGTATTTATCATTTCTATACTTTTTTTTAAAGTATTCGTGCAACTGGACAAGGATTCCATGAAGCATTCACTTATAAAATAAAATTGTTAGCATATGTGATAACATGACAGGGCAGGTCCTGTTGCCTGATAATGTGGCATGATTTGATATATTGAGCCTAAATAGTGCTTAGATAATATTTGCATTGTGAAATTGGTTTTTAAACCCTATCGAAGGTTCATTATATCTAGTCTTGTCATAAAAAGTGATATATGTAGGGTAGTGCAAGCCCATTTTTGAGATTTCTCAGCCATTCCACTCAACATATCTTGCTTGCTTGTGAATAGGTTGTTTATATGCAAGTCTATTAAGACATGTTGCTTGAGAATTTGATTTTTTCTTTTTTCTATTGGCATAACTCTAAATATTCATTGAAAATATCTCTCGTGATGACATTACAAGTTATTGTCTTCTTTTCATGCCATGCTAAGTTAATTTTTTCTCTCTTTTTACATTCATTGAACCAGTACAGAGAAGCTCAAGTCAGCAGATAGATTTACTCCTCTGGTTCATAATCTAAGGCTGTTCTCAAGTACTCACCATTAACGCTTCATATCTAACTTGTCTATGTGCGTATCATCCATGCCTATGTGGGGTATTACAGGTTGCCAAATTGCCACACCTTATAAGAAAATATATGTTGATTTGCAACTTGGAGTACAGCAGGAGTTAAATGGTGCTTTATAGTCATATAGAATTTATACTAAACAAATATTGGTACTTTAAATTGTTAAAAATGAGCCTTGGTGGTTTCTTGCCTGTGCTATTATTAAAATGCAACTGTGATGAGAACATAAGCTTGATCCTCAGATAGTACAACAGTTTTTTGTTTTTCCTAATTGTAAATAGGAAAAAATATTCTTGTAACACTATCTAAGCTAAACAACAGCTGATCTCATTGCATTGTTTTGAAAGGTATCATTCCTTGTGTACCATACAGCCTGATGTTTTGAGTTACACAGAAAATGAATTTGAGACAATTGTCAGGTGGATATGACAGTTCAAGTGGCTCTGGGAAAAAATGTAACCAAGGTGGGTGGGCAGTGCAAGGAGAGACAGGCTGGTTCCGGGTTCTTTTGAAAGCAAATACCATCGGCTTTCTTCTGGTCTTGTATCCCCTTGCATTCTTCACTCATGTTGGTAAATATATCAGTCATTTATTTTTTTTTGTTTTCTAACTCTTAACAGAATTTTAATTAGTATAAATTTCTTACTGTTGTCTGTGTTTTTGTTGTATTGTTTGTATAAATCTTCGCTTTCATGCTTTGTTATAAGTTGTAAATAATATGATAATGTAGAAGCCCCATGAGAGATTTAATTATAGGGCACAAAGTAAATTTCAATGGAACTAAGTGAAATCAGATGTACTAAAGTTCTTTTGTTTGAACATACCGTACGTGACCAATCATCATAGAATATTTTTTGTATTTAAATTGCTTATGATTATACTAATGCTTCGATAATAAATGAGTAACGAAATATAGTGTTTGTATATACCCTTATAGAAAGATTGACATTTACTTGGTAAAACCATCATACAAGTTTACAATTGGTTCAGCATGTACAGACACTCCCTGGGTTCCATTCCTGGGGGCTATCCACCAGCCGAATTATCCATAAACCGGAAGTGACCCTTCTAAAGGTAATCACAGAACACTTCACAAATGTACTGTACAGGTAGTTCTGCTATAACGCGATAATTGTGTTCTTGTAAAATATCGTGTTATAGAAAATCGCGTAATAGAAATAACAGGGCTTATGGAGAAAATAGGGTTAGGTGCAGATTACTCGAAATCGAAAAAAATTTAGTAGTTAGCCTAACACAAAGGACAGCACAGTCTAAATAAATGTTACATTCATATCTAATAATGAAATCATACAGTAAATTTAACACTTTACCTTGAAAAAATATGAATGTAACTTGATGGGGGAGAAGGGTGATTTTGAGGTTGAAAACATCGAGCTTCTCTTCAAGTGTTATATCCTTTCTTTTACGATAATCACCGGGAATTCTATCATCAGAACGCTTTTTGGAGATATTCTTCTTTACCATATTCACAGTTAATACCACAAAATTGGAGAAATAGTAAGCAAAAATCGCGTTATAGCAAACAAGCGTTCGCGTTATACAAATATTGTTCCGAATTCATAAATCGCGTTAGAGCAAATTCGCGTTATCAAAACACGCATTATAGCAGAACTCACTGTATATACATTTACTTTACCTACATGATGTAATACCTTTTTATTAATTAAAAGTAGAAGCAAGGGAAACAATGATAAATACAGTTCACAAATACAATTCATTACTGTAACTTTATCCATAAAGTTGGAAATCCGTAACCCAGAGTGTGTGTACATGTTTATCCCTCGCTGTATGAATTGGTTAGGTTCCTGAAAAGTCATTTGTTAAGAACTTTTGTACAGGTAAACCTCAATAAACGATGTCTCGGTCAGCGCTATTCCGCTTTAACGATGGTCCAAGAAGTAAGACCATCTCCCTATGCAGTATTACCATGGAAAAAATGTTTTAACAATATCCATCTCTAGTGCAAACACGAATTGTATATAGTACAGCTCTTCCCCGACTTACGACGGGGTTAGGGATCCAAATGCAGGTCGTAAGTCGAAAATGCTGAAATAATACAAAGAAAATCTAAAATGGGTGTCTCTTTTTCTTCTCAGCAACACAAAACTCTCACTTTTAAGCTTGCCAGCCATTTTAAAGTGAATTACGAACAAAAATTTTGTTAGTACACTGACGTTGGGACTCGAAAATACGTAATTTGACAAAATTTTGGTACGACTGAGGCAGGTCGTAAGTCGGGGAGGGGCTGTATTCAAATTAATCGCCGTCTTAAAAAGGATTCCAGCAATGCAAATTATATTTTTCTACAAGTCAGTGACATTTTATAAGGAAACAATATTTAAGCCTATGTACAATGCATCTCTCCTTCGCTTGTCACCCTACCCACCCACTGCCACATGGCCATCCCACGCACTACAGCCCTCTGCCTGGTTCTTTGTCAATTGTAAGCCCACCTTCACATTGCTCCATGATTATTGGTCAGCATCGTACATTGTACTTCTCATCGGTGTTTTTTCTTATAGTGAAAGGACAGCAAAACGCTTAGATAGAATTGTGTCATGGTGATTGTGAAGTGATATTTTCTGTGTTTTTGTGACTGTAAGGTGCATCGCCTCTGTTGTGAAAATGATGTGAACAGTGTTGGCCGCTATCATTGTTTTTATGTTATCATTCGCTCTGTTTTTGTAACGAGTGCTTTTGCTCTGTTTTTATGATCAGTGTAATTTTGAAAATGTCTGGGAAGGCCAAGGCATCCAAGACAATCATGTTTCTGAAGTGAAGCTTGATATTGTTAAGCAGCATAAGACTCCCCAGAGGCTGTGTAGGATTCCGAGTAACATCTCCACTCCACCCACAAAAATCCCCTGAGCCTTGAAGGGGATATGGGACGATGACCAGGCTTTTTTATTATGATGTGGTGAGTGTAGTTTAATTGTTTTGTTCTGATTGTAGCACTAGGAATTTTTTTTTTCAGTGATACATATGTGTTTGTGGAATGGCTGGTAACATATCCCATTGAACCCCATGTTATAATGCTCCCTGTCTATGATATTTCACTCAGCGGTGGGTTTTTCAGGAACCTAACCGTATCGTTTATCGAGGTTTACCTATATAGCGAATAAAGGAACATAGAGGGGTATGGTAAAATAGGGTTCAGTTCCCCAATGACAAGAAAACCCCAATGTCATACCCCCAAAACAAGAAATCAGTTCCCGAACAACAAAATCCCTACCCAACTAATGATAAGTAGTACACAACTACTGTAATTTACAACTTAACACATTAAAAACATTAATAAATTACTATCTAAATGAAAATACAGTAAGTCCTCGTTTAACGTTGTCCCCGATAACAGTTTCATTATAATGTTGCTATTCTTTACATACCCATGATTCGGATAACGTCCCGCCGATTCAGTATAATGTCATTACAGACTACTTTGTACGGCGCATCACTCTCTCATCTTGTCGTGCTACGCTCTCACCCGCGGAGCGTCACTATTCGAAATGGCTTCCAAGCGCCCCTCAAGTGCTACTGATGCTAGTGTTGTGAAGATGCAACGTAAGACCATTAGCCTTGCTATGAAAATGGAGGTTTTAAACCGGGAGGAGGAGCCACCCGCCGGGTCTCGGTGACTCGCCACCCTCCTCCTCCGCTCCACTACCCACCACACACTCGCACCACCACCTCCGTCCATCAGTGAGTACAATACAAAATTATTTAATTTATTTATATATACAGTATATACACTACTTTCTATAAAAGTTCCATTGAATTTATGTACTGTATATGTAATGTATTTTATGGGGCAAAGGAAGGCTGGGGAACGTAGCTCCCGCATTTCATCTATTTCTTCTGGGGAAAATTGATTCCGTTAACTTCGCGGTTTTCAGAAACGGAACCACGATGTTAAGCGAGGACTTGCTGTATACAGCTAAAACCATAAAGGAAAAGCTAAATCAAAGTTTAACACAGCCGCTATTTGAATAGACGCTGGCTGCATCATGTGTGGTAGCCTCAAGACCTTGCCATAACAACCTAGCCTGGGTGGGGGGACGCTGCCTGTGTCAAACCCTTGGCAACGCTCTCCCTCCCGCTCACACATAAAGAAATGTTTATTCCTTTTATGTTTTTATGTTTTGCACATTTTGTATGTAGGATCGTGTTTGCATATAAGCGAGCAAAAAAAAGCTAAGAAAGTTAAATTTATCTACCCGAAATTATAAGTTGAAAAATAGCCATAACATAACTCCATCCCAGCTCATCCTGCTAACTCTTGTGGTACACGGAATTTTTTTTTCTTCCCATTATGTTTTTGACCTGATATTTTTGTTTTAACTTTCTGTATGTAAGATTGTGAGTGCATGTAACTGAATAAAAAGAAATATGAAGAAAGTTATTTATATCTAACTGAAATTATGAGTTGAAAAATAACCATAACATATCTCCTTCCTCAGCCTGGTAGGGAGAGAGCTTGGGGGGTCGTGATCGCCCCAGCTGACACCCCAGGGCACAAGATTTGAATGTTTGACGGGATCCATAATCGATCTCCCTATCTATGATATTCCACTGTAACGAAGGTGATGTATTGACACCACCCTCCGATTTATAATGTAAACAATTGCATGAACGATGGGCATCGTCCGGCCAACACAGACACATCTCTTGTTTCACTTGTCAGCTGCTGTCTACCTGAGCACCGCCACCTGGTGCACTACAGTACCAAGCTTTGTTCAATGATGAGTGCAAATGGCCGTGATCGTGTAGCTCAATGATTATTGGTCGGTATCGGTGATGTTACTTATCATCGCGGTTTTCTTTTTTACCTTAGAGTGAGAGGACATCAATAACGTTCACACTGTACTCTCTGTTGTGAACATGATGTGAGCAGTGTCAGCCACAATAACGTTATCATCGTTCGCCCTGTTTTTGTTACTGTGAAGTGAGCATTGTTACTGAAAATGTCTGGGAGGGCCAAGACACCCAGTAAAACAGTGTCTCCGGAGGTGAAGCGGCATGAGACTCCCTAGATGGCCTAGAGGCTGTGTGGGAATCGGTGATTCTTCACTCCACTTTCAAGAGTCCCCTTAGCCTCGAAGTGGACATGTGATGAAGACCAGGCTTCTTCTTAATGACGTGGTGAGTGTTTTGTTTAAGTGTGTTGTATGTTATTAGTGGAGGATTTTTTTTTTCCCGAGTGATACATGTGTGTCCGAGTGGCTGGGAACGTATCTCATTAAACCCCATGTTATAATGATCCCAATTTACAATATTTCAACCTGCTATGGGATTTTCAGGAAGCTAACCCCACCATACCAAATCTAACCAAACATCAAGGATGAAGTATGTTGGGCATACAGTATGGTAAGCACAGACCCTTTTTAATAGGTTAAGCTCAAGATCATAGTATAATACAGTAAATCTGGAATGAAGCACATCAAAACTGTCATGCCATTTTTCCTTATGACATCACCTTTTTTCCTCAAAGTGACATCAAAGATGAATTGTTGACAAAAATACATGAATGTCGAGAAACATGTACAGTACACATGTATCACAAATAAAATTTTCTGTAGGATTAAACTGTGGAAACCCATTGGGGTGCCACATGAAAAGTTTGACCTCAATTGGTAAAACATATACTACAGTAGGTCACAATGACCTACATGTACAATACAGTATTTTCAAATCGTCAAAATATACAGATGATTGCCTTGTTAAAGGTATTAAAAGACTGCTATTCCATATTGCAGAATCTATGCCTACCAAATTTCTATTTATCTCAAACTAACACTCGGCAGAATTCACCGCCAGAGACCCTGTATTGATTTTCCTATGCTGTACTGTCCTGTACTGCACTATATATCCTCCATCAGTTTAAAAACTCCTGCTTTTAGCCTTTGTTTTGTTTAAAAGATTTGTTAGATCTCTCCTTGAATTATTTGTTTAAAAAAGGACACCAATAAGTCCTGAGGCTTTTAGTTTGGTATATACTGGAAACAGTAAATATACTGTAAATAAAAAGGTATAAAAATTAAGCTGTCTGCACAGGATGGGAAAACTCTGTTGTAGGTACAGTACAGTACTGGTACTTGTAGCGCATTGTTACTATGATCACATGAATGGCTTTATTTTAGGCTGTGGTGACTGTTATAAGGTCAGGATGGTTGAGAGAGGGTATATTGAGATTAGGTAAGTCGTTGTTGAACTATTTAACCAGTTGACCAGAAAGTTTTAACATTTGTGGGTTGAGAATAAAGGAAAAATGTTTTGGACTGAAAGACTTCGTGCATTAGATCAGATATACCTTAATTTTCTCATAGTAAAAAAGACTACAGTATTTTATCCGTAGTATTCTGAAAATGTTAAAACAAATTATGTGTAGGTAGTACTTTTTATTATTTACATGTACATGTTGCAAAAAAAAACATTGGCAAGCATAACTGTTTAACAAATATAGCATCACCCAGATGAGCATAAAAATATACAAACAAGATCATTCATAAGTGACAATATTCATTTCAGAACTGTACAGTACTGTACTATTGTAATTATGAAAGATAGCATTATACAGGATATCTACTAAAGAAAGACCAAATGATTTCCTCGGTCACAAATTCTTAATCAAGTTTTTATATTATAAGTTCCTTAAATATATACAGTACAGTACTGAAAATCAACAATGGGAATACAGTACAGCAACAGTTGAGATTACTGCATAGGCAACATTGTAACAATTAGGCAAGCAAAATGTCATTACAACATAAACACATTTGAAAATAAGCACTACACTTTAAATATTTCACTGGTAAATTTTAGAAAAATGGAAAATGGAACCAATTTGCAACTTTCTTTTTCTTTCACTTAATTTATCTTAAAATTGTAGTAAAGTAAGTAACTGCAAAAAGAGCACAGTAACAAATTGGCAAGTGTTACTAAAGTTAACTGTCTCGTGTTCCTAAAGATATACAGTACAGTACAGTGGGGTATGCTATAACGAACGGATCCTACTACGAATATTCCTATAACGAACGGTTTTACCTATAAAATTGAGATTGCTATAACGAACGAAACTCCTACAACGAACATTATTTAGAAACTAAAATTCATTTTTTTTTCTTTTTTTTTACTAATTTATTGTTTTTTTATTACAAGTATTAATGATGTTCTTTATTTCAGGGCTTTAGATGCTTATTTATGCACTTTTTTACAATTTTTACAATTTTATATTATATTTTTCAGTGTTAAGTGGTTGTATTTGGGGGCCTGGAACGAATTAATCCTATAACGAACGAATGCTATAACGAACAAGGTTCTAGAACCAATTAGATTCGTTATAGCATACCCCACTGTACAGTACAATAGTAGTCCCTCGCCAACAACGGATTTTGGGTATCTACTGTTTTTACTCTGTGTACCATATCACCAACCACGGCATTGAGAGAGAATGGGCCTGTGTCCCCTTCTACCTTATAACAACCACCTCTCCCTCCACGTCATCCCCTCGTACTCAATGAAGATAAATACAGTGGGGTATGCTATAACGAACGTAATTGGTTCCAGAACCTCGTTCGTTATAGCATTCGTTCGTTATAGGATTAATCCGTTCCAGGCCCCCAAATACAACCACCTAACACTGAAAAAATTCTGTGGAAAATGTAAAAAATACGGTACTTTATCTTACCTTAGTGTTATTCAGCATGCAGGTACCCCTAAACACTGGCACATCACTATCACTTCCACTGGGAGTCTTGGCTTTAAGGTCCTCAAACAATTGTCTGGCCTTCTCACAAGTTATAGCTTCACTAATGTTACCACCTGCCATTTCTTTCTCCTTTATCCACACTAAGAGTAAATTTTCCATCTCTTCAATCACATTACACTTTGCTTTGCTAAGTCTAAAGATTCCCTTTGCCACTTGCACAGTTTTTAACTCCCCTTTATTCTTCAAAATCGTACATATAGTCGATTTAGCCATCCCATATTCATCACTAAGTTTCGCAATGCTTCTTCCATTCTCACGTTTCTTTATATTTTCTTTCTTAGTTTCAAGGGTTATTAGCTTTCTCACTCGCTTTGGACGACTCATTGTTACAATTGTATACTACTTGTATAACAAAATAGTTATACAAATAACGCGAATTTCCACATCAAAAGACGAAATTTCAACAATAACAGTGGTGCACTGGCTACACAATGAGACAAAGATGGCGCCTGACGCTCTTGTTGTGGGTCGCGGTACAACAATATTCATGCGCCAGGCGAAATAGTCCCGTATTCATCCGCGTTCGTTGTAGGAGTTGCGTTCGTTATAGCATTCTCAATTTTATAGGTAAAACCGTTCGTTATAGGAATATTCGTAGTAGGATCCGTTCGTTATAGCATACCCCACTGTACCCCTTATCATGTTAAATTTATATTACCATTTAATTTATATTATGTTATTTTATATGTATTTGACTCAAATTTAATGAAATATGTAATGCAGGTATTGTTTTGCGTAAAAACAGGCAACTTAGGCTTTGACAAGTGTTATCCGTGGACGAGGAACCTAATCCTCTATTTCCTGTACGGTAAGCCTTTAGTCTTACCAATCGCGGATTTACCAACCACGGGATTTTCCAGGAACCTAAACCCATCCATGGTTGGCAAGAGACTACTGCACACCAAAATCAACCCCCCTGATGAAAGACAACTACCAAAAAAAAAAATTAACATTAATAATCACTTGAAACATAATTTTACAGTGCGATACTGTACCTGTACTGTAAAAAATTCATGACTGCTCTTACCAGTTCACCTTTAAAAAGACGATTAATTTGGCATCAACTGGGTGGGTAGAGATTAGCTCAAACCTTAAAAGCAATGACGAGAGATCTTTGGAGCTTTTGCAAGGTTGAAAAATAAAGAGGAAATACTAAATAATAAGTCAAATTACTTATTTTCGATGCCATAAATACAAAGGAAGTGGGTTGAAGGCACTCCCTTTCAGTTCATGGGAATACAAGTCATCACTGATTGACTCATGGGAATATTCATCGTCCCATATTAACTCATCAGAATCTCTGTCATCCTCCATTGACCAGTAATGATGTTTATCAGAACCTGTAAATATCCCGTCAACAGGTATTTGAGTCTGAATAATCTTCTGGAGTGGAATTTTGTCTGAAGCTGGTCTGGGTACAGCAAGATCATAAACTGGCCTTGTATCAGCAATGGGTCTGGAAATTATAATGGGTTTATCAGAAAGTCTTTGAACTGCAGCGAGGGTTTCAATGGGCCTTATAACTGCAATGGGGTTATAAACAGGTCTTGGAACTGCAATGGGGTTATCAATTGGCCTTGGCACTGCAATGGGGTTATTAATTGGCCTTGGCACTGCAATGGGGTTATCAATTGGCCTTGGCACTGCAATGGGGTTATCAATTGGCCTTGGCACTGCAATTGGGTTATCAATTGGCCTTGGCACTGCAATGGGGTTATCAATTGGTCTTGGCACTGCAATGGGGTTAATAATTGGCTTTGAAACAGCAACAGGTCTTGGAAAAGAAGTATGGTTATCAGTGGGTTTTGGAATTGCAACAGGTCTTGGAATTGCAACAGGTCTTGGAAAAACAATACGGTTATCAGTGGGTCTTGGAACTACAATGGGATGAATGGGTTTTCGAAGTGCAGCAGGGGTTTCAATTTGTCTTATAACTGCTGTGGGGTTTGGAATTGATCTTGTGTCTGTAATTGGGTTTTCAGTTGGTTTTATAACTGCACTAGGGTTTTGACTTGGTCTCTGAAGTGCAATGGGATATTTGAAAGGTCTTGGAACCACTTCAGGGTACATAATTGGTCTGTGTTCTCCAATGGGACTTCCTGTTGGGACAGGGACTGCAGCAGGTTCTTGATCATTAACACATGGCCTTGGCTCTATGGCAGCAGGCCTGTTAACAGCAATGGGAGGGATTACCGCTGACTGTGTGGCAGTGGGTGCCAGTAATGGTCTTGTTAGAATGGATTTAATGCCCTCTGATGGCCAAGAGCTGGATATTGTGGGGGGGCCAATAAGGCTTTCATCTACATTCTGTTGTATTACAGGTCTGTCAGCAAGGACTGGAGTTACCTTTATTTCCCCAGGTAAGGTGGCAGGTTTAACTTGAGTACTCAACACACTAACAGCATCAACTCTATCATCTGCCCCTGCTGCCCAAGTCCAAGCACTTATAAAGTTCTTGAGAATATTCATATCTGGTGTATTTGATGAACGAGTAGAATTCTGAGCAACACGTGTTCTCTCCCATACTGCCTTGTACTTCAAAGCTGCTGCTTTGACCGATTCAGAATTCTGAATCTGGTCTGACATCTGGTTTACTAAAGGCATATAGACCATCCCAATTTCTGGCCACACATTGGTCACTTTCAAGTATGGAGCATCAAGTTGCATTGCTTCTTGATTCCAGATAGACATGTAGTTCAGTTTAGCTTCTTCTAAATGAGTGTCCTTCTGGGGGTTGTCAACCTCTTCTTGCGTCAGTGTACTTCTCAATGAGTATGGACCCGAGTTGGCATCTTGATCATCAAGAACATCGTCATCTACAATAATATGATGTACATATTCTAATCCCAATGTCGGTGGTTCACCAGCACTTTTTTCAGTGTCAGCTAAGGAAGGCATTACCTGCTGGGTGTCAACTAAAGGTGCCAATGAAGTTATTATTTCTGCACTGTTTGGTATGAGCGTAGTATCAACTGACAAATCTGATGTTTTTACCTCTGCACTGCTGCCTTCAGTTATCGTAACTACAGACCAGTCTGAAGATGTCATTTCCTTGACAATGTTTTGTGCAGGTGTAGTCTCAGCACCTTCAAATATGGTTGCCAACTTTTCTGTGCTGTTATCTACAGTTTCTGGGCTATCCTGCACAGACAAAGTACCAATAACTTGCTCCATGGAAGGTTGTGATCCTTGTTGCTTAGGTGTAACTGTCTGGGGAGATGAGTATGAGCCAAGGGTGGTGATGACCTCAACACTACTCATTGCTTCCTCCTCGGTCAGACTCGTCTCAGGAAAGGAGTCCAAATGAGCACTCAGGAAATGGTCTGGGGGCTGAAATAATAGTACTGTACAGTAATCTAAAAAGTACTGTAAGTATGGCACATTATGCTAAAAGCTTATCCTGTGTTTGGATTAACTTATCTGACCTTTTTTTTTCAAATATAATTTTAAGTACAAAAATACACAAAACATTCACACCCAACCACCTTCACTTTCCCTAACTGTAAAGTGAGGTGCAGTATCCATTCACAGCTAGGTGGTCTAGGGATATTCGTGGCATGAATCAGCAACCTTTATGACAAACAGTAAGTGCTGTGTCCACTTTGCAGCAGCACCCCAATTACTTATCTAATGTTAAAAACATAATAAAATTTGCCTTGATATGCAATTTTTGTCTTTATTTAATTCTTACTAATGCAGAGTTCCAGGGTGCAGCGACTGAGTAGATACAGTGCTCATCCCATCCTAAGGGTCTCTGGTTCATACTCAGGGCACCCTTAGTTAACCCAGTTGAGAATGGGTACCTGAATTTACAGTTAGGGAAGGGAAGGTTGAAAGCAGTATCCACACTGCCCAGAACAGGCTGTGCAACTTAGAGGAACCATTTTCATCACAGAAACAGACTGATACAAAGACATTTTCTCTCTTAAATGAACTAGGTACAGTAATTTTATCTATATTCAAAATGATATACAGGTACGGTCGGGGACAAAAGTTCACTCCCCTCGGTGATACTGAGTCACGGGAATGAGTCTCTGCACTGACTTACCCTGACTGTTGTATCTCGTTTAGGGTTGATGCTGCTTCATTTTGGGAGGGAGCGAACTTTTTACCCCGACTATACAGTAGGTGGTTAATCTTTTGATTACCCCAGGGAGTAGCAACCCTGCCTTACCAGCCCAGAGGGTGTTTGGAAGTTCTACATAGAATGCTCAGTTCCCACACTGTACAAGTAATAGGAACGGGTTATCGGAATCCCATACTGTACCATCAGGTAATCACGACTAACTCAAACAGGTGTGGAAAAATAGCCATAAAAAGGTGGTGATGATGATTATGAAGCAGTGTGTGTGTAACTGTCGAGGTTCTTTAATGAGTTTCAATTGTAATTTCATTATGTTATGTATCTATTTACTGAGGCCACATAGAAATCACTGTGTCTGTAATAGTTCCTGAATAGAATTTTGGAATTAAAATTGAAACTAAACAGAAGGATTGTGGGTGTAGTGATACTAGACAACTCACCGTGAAGATGGTGACGGGGATCTTGGCGGCCACCACTGGCCGCGCCAACACAGCTGCCACCCACATTACCTGTACCAATGCTCACATTAATAATAATGTATTCACAACTCTTTCTTTTTTGGGGGTTTAGGTTAGGTTAGGTTATGTGAATGACTTTTTCCTGTGACTTTTTTCCTAGATTTGGTCAACTTTCGTATTGTGGTTTTTTATGCTTTTCTAATTGTTTCTTAACACCTTGGTTGGTAGAGTGGTCTGAGAAATTATTCTACTGGGGTTTCAACACAGAAGGGTGGTATTGTGACAACTAATGGTTTATACCAGGAGTGCTACTGCAGAAGTAAACGATTTAAACAATCGACATTCTTCACAAAGTTTTCTCCGTATCTCTTTTTCGAAGCCTGCAACTGGTCATGACAAATTTTGCAGCCTGTGTTTTATTTCTGTTGAGCTGTAATTAATCTAAAATCTGAAATATTTACATCCCCACAAAAAACTATGAAACCAGTGTTGTACATCTGAAACTGGAGGACTAGAAACATTAACAATCTTTTCAGGACAAACCAACAGACAAACAAGGGTAACAGAATACTATATGACTCATTTGTTGGGACAATCAATGTTAATGTTCTGTGTATTTAATCTTGAGTCATTAATACACCCCGGCTGTCTATAATACAGTACAGTTTTAACGGCCAAGATGTTAGATGACCATTCCATTATGGAGTCAGTTCCTTTATCTCTCTAAATTAACTGAAGGATTAGAAAATCTAGCACCAGAATTTGGCAGTGAGAAGTGTAAGTGTTATTGGGTATGCAGGGGCAGATCCAGGGTGGACCCTGGGTCCACATCCTCCTTTTCATCAGAAAATCCCAATACTTTTTCTTTAATGCAGTATTTTACTCAGGTGTTTTTGTATAGTAAAAAGTAATAACTATCGACCTCAGAATATCTCTTAATATCAATTGTACATCGCTTCAAAATGCCCTTTATATTGGTCAGATTTAAAAAAAAATTCTGGGGGCTTACAGTGCCCCCCTAACCCGCCAGCTGGAGGGCAGGCACACTGTGCTCACCATGTTTCTCCACCCACAACTTCTTGGACCTCCCCTTTTGATATTCCTGGATTCTACCCTGGTATGGTAGGGTACATTATGGGGAGTAAAGACAGCTAGGATTAGCAAGCAATAAATAGATTTTTAGAACATCAGCCACTTCATCCGGGAAAGTAGATACAGCACACTACAGTTTACATTTTGCAAACCTGAACTTTAGTAAATTTTGGCAAAAACAAAATATATCCGTGGCTCTTCAAGAATGTCTTCAGAGAGCTGTTCGTGGCTTAGATTTAAACAAATCATGATGAGCGGATATTTCTTAGGTCAGTGACAAGCTAGTTTACCTCATGAATTCGGAAAGGTTCGAGGTTTCCCGTGAACTCATAATGTGAGAAAACCTTACTACGTGATTTTCTATTGAGTTACTTCTGCCGATGTGAAACAAAAGACAAATTGAACCGGAACTGCTCCGTCTTTCTTGTATGTTGCTGACATCATCAAGATGCCCAGCTCAAAAAAGGTTTTTACCACTGTCAGTCTGCCAACAAGGGAAATGTCCCCCAAAATTACTACCTCTCTCACACAATACTGTGTGTACACAGGTGGCAGATCCAGGAATATAAAAAAGGGGGTGGTTGTTCAAAAAAGTTGTGGATAGGGGAACATGGCGAACACAGAGGACTCAGAACTGTACCTCCGCGAGGCAAGATCTTCTCTGCTCCTGAGGTACTACGTGAACCAGACGGTGAGGCTGACCTGTGACCAGGCGAAGGTTGTAAGACTGTATCCAGTCACATGCCCTTCGCCCAAGCAACTAAACCTCCTTGTCTAAGGAAGTTTTTTGACTCCTTATGAATCAGGGGGGTTACAAGGTGTCGTCCACAGACCAGTGAGTGGTGGCCTTATCGTCACCTTCGCGGAATGGGGACAGGCCCAGCAAATAGCCAACATAACAAATTAACGGGATCAAGATGCTAGTGGAAGTTCACACAGAGGATAACTTGGTGTTGGGAGTCATCTCCCACACTGAGATAGAACACCTTGAAAAAGAAGAACTGGCCGAGCTGATCAGACACCAGCTCGCAATAGTACGGAAGCTGACCAGCGTAACTGCACTGGTTGATTACCCAAAGAATCTACCAAGCACCGTATTGCTGGGATGGGAGAACATCCCAGTAAGACCGTATGAAAGAAGACCAAGAGGGTGCTACAAATGCCAGAGGTATGGCCATCTGGCAGGGAAGTGTCGAGCTCGGGCGGTCTGTTGCAGTTGCAGGACACCCGGGCACCAGCACACCAACTGCTCAGCGGCTGCCAAGATATGCGCGGCTTGTGGTGGCCCTCACTCCTCCTCCAACCGGGAGTATCCCAAGTGGAGGGAGGAGTGTAGGGTGGCTAAGCTGCGAAGCAAGAAAAAACTGAGCTACAAGGAGAGCTTGAAGACCGAAGAAAAGAAGAATCAAGACCCCAACCAGACCACAGAAAAGAAAAATCAAGACCCCAAGAAGACCACAGAAAAGAAGCCAGAATCAAACAAAACCGAAGAAAAGACAAAGAGGCCAGATTCAGTAACATTAAAAAGATCAGCGTTTATTAGACTTTTACGAGTATATGCCAGAACAAGACCAAGAAGAAGAATGGAAATTTAAAAGAATAAGAACAAACGAAAGAACTCCAAAAAAAACGACTTAGAAAAAAAGCAGCTTCAGCCAAAATAGCCAAAAGGCGAAGTGGCCAGTAATCCCCAAACAAGCCAAGAACACAGAGCGCCCCCCCCCCAAGAATAATCCGACCAATATCATGGACATTTTGAGGCCATTTTAAAGTCACGCGCACTTGATATTAAAAAAAAATATTCTGAGGTCAACAATAAATACTTTTACTATACAAAAACGCCTAAGTACAATACTGCTTTTAAAAAAGTATAGAAATTTTCTGGTGTAAAGGGGGGGGGGGGTCCGGACCCCAGGACCCCCCCTGGTATATGTGATTCATCTACCCTCATGTTAGTATCCTCCAACTCCAGTTAAGAAATGTACACTTTGCAAAATCTCGAGAAAAATGTATGCAAAGTTGCCTCCTGGCAAACCATGAATTCAAACTTAATAATAAACGTAATTTAGCACTATACCAGAACGTATTTGTAAACAAGTAAACAAAAAGAAACACTCGTCTCCTGAAGCGATACAACAAGAACGTGAAGAGCGGTCTGTGGTTACAGACTAGCCATCACTGCTCCCATTACCAACGCGGGGGATTGGGCCACCACGCCTCGCTAGGCTAGGTGCGGCCCAGTTGATGCAAGCGCTGGATACGTGGTGTAGGAGCCTCCACCCTGGCCTTATGATGCCTGAAACCTGCCCCAGCCCCTGAAGGATATGACAAGACGACAAAGCGGCCGCTAACGTCCTCTCTATAATGTTCTCAGGCACTAAAGATTTACCAGTACATATTTCCCTTGTTTACTAATTGCGAGTTACACATAATAACTCACAAAGGTTTCAGGGCACGCTGCCAGGTCTTTAGTCAGCAGGAGGTCGTATTTCAAGGTGAGGGCCTAGCAAACGGGGTTTGTTGCGGAGGGTGGTGGCGTGTAACCAGTTTATCGGTCGTGCACTGGTGAATCACGCGAGGAACACTGATGCAGGTGTGACTGACGTTTGTATTGATGTGTACACGAGTTATACACACAAACACACACACACAAACCTGTACTTTACTTTATCCTCTTCGCCACTGTATTTCAAAAGGGAATATGTAAGAGGAACAGATTTATACACCCATGATCACCTCCACATACTCCGTCTTAGAACGAGTTTATTGAGTCTCGCAGATGCTCCACACATAAACATTAACCTGTAATTCATCAACATTACAAGGGACGTCATTATAAGAAAAAATCGCGTCTTGGATTTCTTTGTGTCACAGCCACGCTCGTATGATTATTTCACCATATAACTTAAGCCCATCACTTCGGCAAACTATACACTACGACACGTCCTATTGAGCAGAGCCTCGCATCGTGTCAGGCAAGAGGCCGTATCTTTTTCTTTTCTTTTTAAGAGGCCTTTTTTTTTTTTTTTTTAGAGAGAGAGAGAGAGAGAGAGAGAGAGAGAGAGAGAGAGAGAAAAGGGACTGGGGGTGGTGAAAGAAGATTCGAGGTGGTGGGAGGAAGTTATAGTTCGGAAATTGAAGAAATTTAGGAGGAGGTAGGAGAGGGCGGACTGACCGCCCTGCTGTAAGTTAGCTAAGATAATAGTGTGTTGGATTGTGTCATGGGTTAGTTATTGTCTGTTGACACAGGCACTCTCCAGGAGGGGGGGGTTGAGGTATATTCCTGGCTTATTCAAGGACTGTGGCGTGTCCTTGGCTGTACATGGTGGAGGGGACAAGGACGTGTCCTTGGTTGTATAGGATGAAGGAGAGGGGTTCTTGGTTGTGTAGGATGAAGGGGCGTGTCCTTGGCTGTGTAGGGCGTGTCCTTGGTTGTGTAGGTGAAGAGGTGTCCTGGTTGTGTAGGCTGAAGGGGGCGTGTCCTTGGTTGTGTAGGTGAAGGAGGGTGTCCCTGGTTCTGAAGGGGGTTGTGTAGGTCCTGGTTGTGTAGGCTGAAGGGGCGTGTCCCTGGTTGTGTAGGCTGAAGGGGGCGTGTCCCTGGTTGTGTAGGCTGAAGGGGCGTGTCCATGGCTGTGTAGGCTGAAGGGGGCGTGTCCCTGGTTGTGTAGGCTGAAGGAGGCGTGTCCCTGGTTGTGTAGACTGAAAGGAGCGTGTCCCTGACTGTGTAGGCTGGAGGGAGCGTGTCCCTAATTGGGAAGAACGAAGGGGGCGTGTCTGGGACGATATACCTAGTTGTACAGAAAACCCCGTCGAGTGGTGCTGTGATGGATGCGTTTGTGTAAGCGGCAGATGACTGTATCTGAGGCAGTGCTGTGTGGGAGCATATCTACAGTACAGTATGTAGGAGAAGAGGATTGTGTCTATGCTTTGGGTAGTGAACGGGTGTCTGACAGCCCAGAACAGATTAAGGATATTTTGGGACACTTCCAGTATCACTCTAACAATAATTCTTTAACAAGACACATAAATCATCGACTGACTGTCTTTTGCCACGATTAAGTCTTCCACTGTGACAGCAAGGCGTGGTAAAAGTGACAAGCAAGACGTGATAAACGTGAGAGCAAGTTGTGGTAGATGTGAGACTAAGTAGTATTATATGTGAGTGCAAGCAGTCGTCAAAATTGTTCTCTAAATTAGGCGTAACACTCAGTAAAAAATAACATTCACCAATCTTACTCATAAAACAACAAAATCATACTTGAACTACAAATCTTTTCAATACAATCAAAGAAAAAATGTCATCATCAAAAGAAAAAAAATCGGTCAGGAACAATAAACATCAACCCAGATTAGGCGATTTCACTTTATGACTCAAATTGTGGAGAGGACGAGAGGTAATGACTAGGACCCTCAGGAGGTAGCGACATACAGTGACTGGGGGGAAGGTAACAGACTAACAGTACCTGTGTTAAGTGTAGCATGATGCGGCAGATTTGGGGGAAGGTATAGATGAGGGAGGGAGGGAGCGCTCTTCTCTTCTGTCGCCTCTTCCTGGTGATGAGCGACGGATGTGACCTCAACCCAGGACTCGCTTAGACTGCCCGCCAAACTTACCAACTTGCGGGACCTGTACCCCTGACCAGCTCCCTGCCCCCCCACTACACCTGATGCCGCCCCAGCACCTCCCCCATAAACATCCTTAGGCCTTCGGCAACAGCTCTCCCAAATATGACCCCTTCTTCCTTTAGAACTTTATGACCCTCTCCATCAAACCTCTTCACAGGCACCGACTCCTGACCATCATTTGCCTCTAACAAATACAACATCAGTTTACCTGAGGTCTCATGTCTTTCCCACCTCCCTGCTTATAAATATTCTTCTGTTTTTTCTTTTTTTTTGCCAATATTGTATCAACCCGTCGTAAGTTTAAACAGTTAGGTGTGGTGGTAAATGGTTAGTCATGTCAAGCCTAGGGGGTAAATGGCGAAAAAAAGGTTAAAAATCCCTGTATTAATAAATGAACTAGCCCACATCTTGTGCGTGTACCCTTGAACACCAAAAATGTCACTGGTGGTGGTGGTGGTGGTAGCTGCTGTTCCAGGTGATGTTCTTTCGAGATAATTACACGTCTTGGTTCACATCGTCTTAACTGTTTCACCGTGGCACCTCCGGATCCTGAGAGAATTTCGTTGGGTGTGCAAAGAGAGATTCAGGCACCAATCATGCTACTCGTTACACCCAGGCAGATGTATGACTTGTCCGTGGAACATCAGTTATGGTAACCGTGCCTGCATGGGTTTGTTACCTGAAGGTGGTGTCTAAATAAGTTCATGGAGATCAAAGTGACGTAGCGAGGGTCTATGAACAGTGTCCTGAGATCATGTAAACAAGTGATTGCTTGCTTGCCACTCCACCCACGATCCAAGAGGCGCACACCAGGAGATTAACCGCCCTTACGCTACCTAGGGTTAAAGAGAGAGATCGCACACAAGAAGGAAGGAGGGCAGCAGTGTGGGCGAGAACCGACCCCCACACACTTACAGGTTAACGCCCGCCGCAGCCTCCGCCGCCCGCGCTTTCTCCCAACACAGTGGGAAATAATATCACGCGCTTCACATTCTTATCTACGCTACACTGTCTCCGCTACACTTATCTCCGCTACACTGTCTCCTCCTACACTCGAGTCAGCTACACAACACTATTTGAACTGTTTCTTACAATTGTGTTCATACTGAATTTATGCCAAAGTTTTACTAGTCTAGGAGGCAGTGATAGCACAGCCTGTAACGAATGCCCGTATTATAGGTACGCTGACACAAGCCTCACGGTAAATGGGTATTGGAGTCAAAGGAGTGGGTGACGGGAGGAGGATTACATCAGAGTCGGTGTACCTTGTGCCTAGTTCTTAGTTATTGAATATGATGTTTGTTTTGCAATATTTTTTTGAGCGTAGAAACAAATGATTAGATCTATATAAAACATAACTTATAAAATACACGAGCACGTGTGTGTGTGTCAGCTTGTAAAAAGTATGTCAGTCAGTCATATATTTTTTTTTTGTCAGTGGATAAATAACGAGTGAAATCTTCTCCGGGAGAGCAGCAGCCACTGACATAAGGGGCTGCCACTTGGGCTTTATGAACACTTAGTTGTAATGCTGTAACTCTCATCTTTTACAACAAGCAAACACCGCTACCACTCTGCCGTGTCACGTCGGGTAATTTCATGCCAGGGTTCTTTTGTAACGGTGTCTCATCGTTAACCAGCTCTATGATGCGTCTAAATAAGATGTTCCGCGTTGTATATTTATTTTCGAGTAGTAATGTTAAACATCTGACACAGCATGTAGCCATGAACGATGATTGTTAGATTCCGATAATAAACGCTGTTTTTAATTGGAGACTCATCTGCTTCATTAATTTGGGGACCAAACATCATATTTTCTTTATATTTAAAATACTAGCCAATAGCGGATATGATAATAGTCTGACGGCACTGTACATTACTTATAGTGGATAGTGAGTCACAGTGATGTAAAATTTTTCTCTCACTCTATCTCTCAGAAAACCACACTTGTAAAAAAAATGACGCGTTAAAGAAATTCCACTTTTGGACACGATCGCCTTCATGTCACATAACACTTTAGGAGGTGCCGTGGGTGCTCTCATGGGTTGGACATGTAATTGTTTCATCCAAAGAAAAATAGCAAATCTCTGTAAAAAAGTTTAATACTTTACTGTCCGACTGTACACACACACACACACAGAGCTCCTCAGTGTTTACTCAACATTCATACTTCCCAAGCTCACCTATGCCTCCCGTACCTGGTCTTCCTCCCTAAATGCCACACAACGTAAACACCTAGAAAAAGTGCAAAGAGGGCATGCAAGATTATTCTCTCCTCTTCCTACTCCACATTTCAAGAAGCGCTCCACTGACCCTCTCGGCTCTCACTGACCATCACCACGACCTCATCTGCAAATATGGTGAGAAACTTCTGCACCATCCTCGACACCGGCTCCTACTACCACCTGAGATCCCTTGCCCGAGAATTGCTGTTCGACACCACAACCGCATCCAGCCCATACAAGCACGAACTGATCGCTATAAGTACAGCCCAGTCCCAACCATTGTAAAACTTATCAATAACTTGTAATCAACCAGTGTATTCACTCCCAGTCAATCTTACTTTTTGCACTGTCACTATGTTGAAATGCCCTGTAGTTTGAGCTTCTTCCCAACTAGTTATTATATATCATATTTGTATCACTTATGTTACTTGTATGTTATTTGTAAATCAAGAGACCCATTCCCCAATTATGTAGGCCTAACTGTATATTTTCAGCCTTCCGGCTGCCATGCTTTTTCAATAAACCGTTAATTATTATTATTATTATTAGAGTACACAATATAGATTACAGATCCGGCAGGTTATGTAAAGAATGTACGTACCTGTATACAAAATCTTGGTTAGCAAGATTTGCACCGTCTATAGCACATCGTTGCTCACTGCGTATCATTACTAACAAAATCGGCTTATTGCGTGCGAAGGCTGTTTATTTTTATACCCAGGGTGTGGCGTACCGTACCCGGTTTTCCAGCAGCAAAAATTAAGGAACTAAATGCCTACTCGAACCTGTACCCACTTTCTTGAAAATTATATGTTTAACCGTTTAACGAACACCAGCCTGGAAGGTGAATATATCCTGAGGTGACCTAACCTGTTGAGGAGGTTAGGTACTGTACATTCCATTTTCACTAACACGTGATATAACCCAGGTCGTGTATAATTGTATTTTTTCTGATGATGTCTTTGAGTTTTGTATAGAATAGGGTTACTTACCTGTTTTCCTGCTACATCCACACGACGCTGCATGTAGCCTCACCTGTGGAGGAAGACAACATTTATGTACCGTATGTTGGTCGTTTCCGGATCAAAGTTTAACAGTCTGCAGCAATATGGTGTTAAAAAATACGAACGTAAATAATTTTCTAACAGAACAACCTTCTTTCAATAATTAGTATAATGAATGTTAATCAGAAATACATAATTTAAGGCAAGCTCAATACTATTTTTTCTGCTAATAACTCGGGTAAAACAAAAAAAAGTAGCAATCTTCAAAATTTAAGACTTGTTAGCAATAGTAATATGTTAGGTACAACCTGTGAGAGCTGGGTATATTTCACCTCTTAATGCTAAACTCCCATCCCGAATGTTAATGGTATATTGGATAGTCAATAAAAAAAGTATCGACCATCCCGCCGTGCATAACAATATAAAACATCGATTTTATTAGTAGTAGTACCGGTATTATTACTATTAGTGTTTTTACTATTAGATAAACAAGGGTAACAGAAACAAGAGAGTCATTATAAGCTTTGTGTGGAGTGGCAGGTCATGTAGGACGTGGGAACTTGCCGAGCTGAGAGTAAATCGTCCGTGTTGGTCCCACACTTGGGTCGCTTACTGCACTCGTATACCTAAAATACTATGGGAGTGTGATAATTTTAAATTCCCTGTCGACATCGTTAAACTTAGAGGCTTGGTAGTGGTATCGCCGTCATCCTTTTCCATGCCATCTTAATATACAGGTATACCTCAGGTCTTCGGTTTCTCCTGCTTGATGATTTTGCTGATTATCTTCGGCGATTTTTTTTTCTAAGAAATTTTAGCGTGGGTGGGTCTAAAATCGGTTAGATTTCGTTAGAATCTAACGTAACCTAACGGTTAGATTGAGATCTAGGTTACGTTAGGTTAAGGTTGAGTTTACGTTAAGTTTACGTTATACGTGCGAGGAAACCGGATACGTGGGGTAATTGGCAACCCTTATCGGAGCGATGAACCAAGGAACACCACTAATTGTTCCAAATAATGTTTGGCCTTTCTCGCTAACGCAATACTCTGCCAGCACCAACCATAAGGTCTATGCTGACACCATCTATTATCATAACACCCATTATCCAATAATATTTGTTACCTCCCCTTAAAGGACTGCACCGTTTAGTGTTGATTACATGTAACAGTGGCTCCCGTTACAGCACGCAGCCGGAGACACAAAAGTTAATTATATTTACCGATGTAACGTTGATTGAACCGAGGTCGAGGTTTATCACACGTTCAGATCAAACGCTTTCTCAACCGGTTAAATTTACAATTGTGGTCGCCAATGAAATTTCAAGGTGCTGACTTGTAACTGTCAAGGTACTGACTGGTAACTGTCTAGGTATTTACTGGTACCACTGTCAATGTACTTAGTGGTAACTGACGAGTTACTTGGTGGAAGGCCACAACATGCACAGTTTTTAACAGTTGTCTACCACAGTTTACACAGTACTATACAGTATAACAAAGTACTAAACTCACGTGTGTGTGACATTTATAGGAAGTTTATACTAGTCATAAAAACATTACTAATTACACAATATGATACAATAGTGCCATCACAGCCAATAATCTCTTGACCCAGAGTCATCAACTGCAAACTCTGCGGTAGTAAAGAGGCTCCGTTTACACAGCACCAAGTCGCACACAACAGTTACTGCCCTTGTTCTTCTCACTTATAACATGTTTCCTCGTCACCGTAAGCTCGTCACGGAGATGCACAGCTGCTGGTCTGATGGCTTTCATTCCAAAAAAAAAAAAATGCTTTAACCTGATACTAACTAGACAAATGCACAGGTCATGTTGTGAATCTTTATTAGTATTCATTTTTCCTTGCTTCTTGTGGGTATCATTTTAAAATCAATCAACACTACTGTAGGTAGTTACCAATGCCGACACTGATTTGAGAATAGTCTTAAGTAAACCAACAATCGTCGATTCTCAGCATATCAAGAAGGCCATAATTTACATTAAAGATAATAGGGAACTCTTCGTAACCCGGATTATTTTTTTTTACAATCATGACGACGTCGACGTTTCCTGTGACCTGGTAATCCTTGACCTTCATCATTTAGCAGAGACGGATGACTTGCTCTTGCAACCCACCGCGTCCACCAGTCTACAGCAGCGCCTCGTCGTGTGAAGATCCTCCAGTTCGTTACCACCCTCCCTGCCGGCACCACTTGAGGTGTCTCTTGCTGCCTCAGTCAAGAAGTCAGCTGGTCGCGATGACGTCCGTGGCGCACTACGGCGTCCTGCTAATGCTCGTCGTTGCGCCCATAGATTTCATCAAGGGATTCGTAGATGGTGATCCTTCAGAGGATTTACGGTCAGCAGTAGCCATGTCCCAACTTGTCCTCGCCCAGCAGGCTCAGTTCTTCAGAGAACTTATCAACGCAACAAGAGGCAGAAACAACTGCTGCGACACTCTTGGAAAATCAGGTAAGGATTCATGCTACAATCCTTATTCTTATTTTTTACTTTAATACAAAAACTTTTGTTAAAAACTTTAGCAAACATTTGAAATTACCGCACTAAACTTCGAAATATGTGTTCCTTATGGTCAGTCTTATTAGACATTGTGAAATATTGTAAAAGTAAGGCTTGCAATATATATATATATATATATATATATATATATATATATATATATATATATATATATATATATATATATATATATATATATATATATATATATATATATATATATATATATATTTATATATATGTGTGTTTCTTTCTTAGTGTACCATTTGCTACTAACTCAAGCTGCCATATATATATATATATATATATATATATATATATATATATATATATATATATATATATATATATATATATATATACTGGTAACTACTATACTGTCCCCCAGATATCGGTAATTGACCTCTAATGTATGTATTCTCTCTTCAGATTTAGAGTTACAGGAGGTATGTCCCGACCCTTATAGTACAGTGGTAGGCGAGTGCTTCTACTTGTCTCCCAACCAACTGTCCTGGCACAGTTCTCGACATTTCTGCCGCGGAATGGGAGGCGACCTTGCTACCCCCAGACATCTATACGCCCTCAAAGCATTCATCACTGAAAAACGAGGTAATTTGACTCCAGTGTACAGTAATTGTCATTTTTTGTTACTGGTTATAATGATAATATTATTCGTAGGGAAAAAATGCTGATTCATGACTGTTGACAATTTATCACTTCGTATTCTTAATACTGTAGATATCTTTAACACCAAATACAAAAATGGCAATATTCCATGGTGCGCTTTTAGACCTGAGAGTTATAGATGATATTGCTGATAAAAACCTGATAGAACCTGTAAAAACGTAACAATATTAGTGTATGTGCGACTGTTCGTGTTTGTGTATATAATGAATTCTATGAACATATGAGTCGGTTTTCCTGTCTAAAGAATAATGTAACGGAAAACGGCAGACCCATGTGTAAATAAGACAGAATTAGGTCACAAAAACAAAGAAACCTTAAACTGCGTAAAAAAAAAATCATATACCAACAAATTGGATTCGTGGTCTGATTCAGATTGTTGAAGTGATTATACAGCATTTGGTTTACCCTTCTCCACGCAGTGCTAATTACAGTCAGATGGAGAAAATGAGGGACAGCTGGGGATGTTTTAAGAGGAAACTTTTGGGGGATTTTAATCAGACTAAGGTCAAATAAAAGTGGACGCTTTGTTCGCTTTGTTGGTCCTATATTAGATGGAGAGAACCCCATCGTATTTGATATACGTGGTACAGTAATCATATTGTACCGGTACTTTATTCGCCACGACCCAAGAAAACCATTATAAATACCATTCATTTTATCTGATGTAATGCCTTGATTTGAATTACCATGCAATCAATTTTAAGAAATCGGGTGTCTAACTGCAAAGAAAGGCACTTAAAAACTTCAATAAGAATCAATCAATCCATTAATGATTATAATTCAAATCCAACCATCCCCAGGGCCTAAAGCTGTGTGGATCGGGGGTACCGACTTAGGTGCGGATGGCGGGTGGAGGTGGGTGAACGGAGACACCGTGGACAGTGCAGATTGGGCCCACAAGCAACCCAACAATGACAGGCCAGTGGAGCAGTGCCTCCACCTAAGGAGAGACTGGCATCCGGTCCTCGGCGACTTGCCTTGTCACATTTCTCAGCGGTTTGTATGCCAGTACATTCTTTAACTCTGACACCAACTTTGCAAAATATAACCCTAACCAGTTATGATAATTATTATGTGAAAGCTGTAATAACATTATGGAAATTCCCATAATGAATATGACCATCTCTCAAATTCCCATAGTAAAACTTTTCTATCCCCTGGATGAGAAATCTGGAAGATAACACATCCAACTGCCTGGTCAGGTAGCCTACTGTAAGTAACGCAAATGACTGTCACGAACCCTACTACAAGTAACGCAACTGTTAATCAGGAAGCCTATGACAAGAAACACAACTTCCTAAATACTTGGCCAGGAAGTGACTGTCAAAGAGCTTATTGCTATTAATAACTGCCTGCCAAGAAGCCTATTGCAGGTAACAACTGCTTGTTAGAAAGCCAATTGTAGGTAACAACTGCTTGCCAGAAAGCCTACTTACTTAGTAACAGCTGTTTGTCAGAAAGTCTATATACTGCAAGCAACAACTGCTTGTTAGAAAGTCTACTGTTTGTCAAGAAGCCTCCTGTAAATAATGCAATTGCCTGATCAAATAACAATTAGCTGGTAAAACTTGTAACTGACAGGTTAGGAATCCTGTTCCAGATGGTTTCGAGACAAAACGGCCCCAGTCTTAAACGGCCCAAACCAGAACTGCCCCACTCTAACCAAAACGGCCCCACCCTATGACCATAACGGCCTAACTCTAACCTAACCAAAACTAAGCATGATAGCAACCATGTTGACAGTCTGAGTGGGGCCGTTCTGGTTTGGGCCGTTTTCTCCTGCTACCTTCCAGATAACCCTTCTCAACCCAGGTCAGGAACCCTGTAAAAGGTAACAAACATTTACAACTGCTCGGCTATGAAGCCTAGCATGGTGCCGAATATACATAGGTACTACATTCATAAATAGTTTTACAAATTTGTTTTACTTTATTTAATTTCACATATTGTTAAGGCATTAAGAAGTTTAGATAATTTTCACAAAGAAGTACTGATGGTAACTAATGTAATGTACCGTAATTTAGTCTATAATTGTTATCGTTAAAACTTATGTAATAAGATACACTAATTTATGTAATTAAATAAGTTATGATATTCATAAAATATATTAAAATAAAAGTGTATGTTTTCCCAGATGATGTATACCACGATATGCTTCATAGAAAAATCATGAAAAATGAGAAAAAATGGTGTACATTACTCCTTTAGTCCGTCCACGATCTCGGTAACAACACATCACTATTCCGCCATAATATTTGCTTCTATTGTCTTTAGTTCAATAAAGTTGTCAGGTGCTAGCCCAAAAAAATCCCTCCTGAGTGTAGGTCATATATAAATGCTACTCGGCACAGTAGCTTATTTACAAGGTTACGACTCGGCACAGTAGCATAGATACATAGCCTACACTGAGTGCCATCATACTTAAGAGTTTAGGGAACATAAAACTAAAATGCATTATTATTACTGTAAACTGTATAAACTTCATACTAATCTACATTTATTGTGTACCTTTAGTTGAGCTGCAGAACACTCGCCACACCACTCGTTGAACTCCAAATCACTGGCTATAGTCAATAAAATATTAAGCTTCACTAAAAAAAATGACATACCTCCTCTCACAATCGGCAAAATGTGACTAATGTTGATTGGTTGCTTGCAGCGTTGCACAGATGCGGCCACTGTTACCAGGTCCTGAAAAGTATCGGCAACAATTTAAATCAAGACCTAGTAATATGCATAATTTACACACATACTGTATATCTTATTGTAGTTAATAAAGTTTATTACATTCACCGGACACTCAAGACTTTTTCGTAATGACTTACAGACACATAATGCGTAATTAATTGTACAATGTGAGCTGGAGCGGGAGTATATTATGTATCTTTATCATCGTTTACATAAATTTTCCATACTGGTACGCGTAATTCTTTCACTGGGTATGTTTAAAGGAATTAACACCGATAAATCGATTGTTCAAAACTCTGCTTTGCAACAATTACTAAAATAATTACACGTAATTTGGTTACATTTATGGCGTGGTCGTTGTCGTACCCCCACTATGGTCGAAACGACGCTTAAACTATGAAACGTATAATTGAACGATCTTTTGTATTCCATTTTCAGATTTACCAAAATTATTAAATTAATCAACTTAATAAACTTTAATATAAATAAAGAGACTTTAACAACGCACATATGTCAGATGTTTCAATATAAACGTATTTTCTTCGCTGACTTTAGAATATATATTTCCCGGATGTGTAAATTTTTTTGTATATAATCCTCTTACTGGATTTAAATTTGCTAATAGTTTCACGGCCTTGCAAAGGCATGTTAGTAATTAGGCATTATCGTACATTGAATCTATCCAACGCCACACCAGTGCAGCCAGATCTACGTAACACCATCCACCCCATCCCAAGACTGAGGCCCCTAAGCCTTATATATTTCCAGCTAACCCATTGATATTTAATGTAAGGCGAGATGTAAGTCGTTTCTATAAATAAATTTTTTCACTTGCAACATGTACAACTGTATGATAACTTAAAATCTGTTTGCCTCACAATTACACTCAATTCAATTTCAATTTCAATTCTTTATTCCTTGATAGAGGAAGCGGGATCTTTGTGGTCACTAGGTACCCCTGTACAATAACACCAGAAACATCTGGCAAGTGTCACAAGTATATGCAGTATAAATATTATAAAGGGGCTTACTAAAGCCTAATGAAGGAAGGATATTCCTTTAACACATAATCAATGTTATTTACAAAATATCTGGCCAGTATGGGGAGGATCATCGTGTCTCCGCCAGGGGGTCGGGGAGTGGTGGTCCAGCAGGCGTCACGGAAGCGTTGTGTGTGGGGACATCTTAGGAGGTAGTGGATAAGGGTGCGGCTGTCGGGTCTTCTGCATAATGCACAAGAGCGTTGCTCTGGGGATGCGGGGATACCAATCTCCCAAGCAAAGTCATACCCAATAATGATACGGGCAGCAATCACGTCCCTTTTCCGCGACCCTTTCCCATAGACGTACGAGAGGTCAGGAAGTTTACGGAGGACATCGTACCAGGTGGGCGGGTAGTCCAGGGGGATGGCTGCTTCCCGAGTTTCTCTGTTTGCGGCGAATTTGGGTCCTAAGCTGTAAAAGTGTTCGAGGAACAACGTAGTTAGGTGTGGCCTTGTTGCAGCCAGTCTTGGCAAGGCCATCTGCTGCCTCATTCCCCAAGATACCGACATGACTGGGTATCCATAGGAATGTCACAGGACGGCCTGCATCCTGAAGTGTGGATGTTAACCCTCGTATTCGGAGGATGAGGTCCTTATTTTCTCCTGATCCAAATGCGATCCCGTCGAGAGCAGACCTGGAATCGCAGTAGACATGCAAGGGGCAGAAACCATCTGCTTCTTCCTCAGCGAGAAGGGCAGCAAGGAGGGCTATTAGTTCCACCTGAGTGGAGGATGCCCCGTCAAAAACTCTGAGAGACAGTTTGATAGGCTCAGGGGCATCAGGACGGGAGATGTAGACACCAGCCCCGGCCCGACCTGTAGCGGGGTCAACAGAACCATCAGTGTAGAGGACGACCCTACCTGGGGACCAGTGGGCGATCCTGGAGAGGTGGTATTTGCAGAGAATAACAGGGTTCACGTGGGATTTCGGGAGCGGTCCACCGAGGGCAATCACTTCAGGTTGAAAATCCAGCCAGGGAGAAGGAGACGAACCAACAGCAGGGGTTCACTTGGATCTTGGGTTGTATATCGTAACGTGCGTATTTCTCTCTCACAAGTCCAGGGTTCGAATCGCCGCTGGTTTAAATGTATGTCTGACGTAGCAAGATTTCCGGTTTTCGCCTGCACCAACATTGGATAAACTAACCACCCAGATGGCTTGTGTCCCGATATCAGGTGTTCTTATATATGGTAAACAAATATACTCAGCCTTTAGATACGCCCCTGGTAACTACGCCAATAGCAACTACGCGTGTATTATCATTTTATATTTAGACTTTCATCCGGAGGTTTGCCACTGAGGGAATTATTATGACTGAACATTCATAAATAGTAAATGAGGAACTCTGAGGTAGGTTATTATTACACGGGGACGAAGCCATAATGTGGGGTGAAATGAAACCTAACCTAACCTCACCCCTGTAAATCAAACCAAGTGTGTGTGCGTAGTGATGGTGAATTGTCTTATAATAACTGGGGATCATTCAGCAGCATCAATCATCATCATTATTCATCATCACCATCATTATCATCATCATCATTCATTATTTATAATCATTCATCATCATCGTCATCATCACATATACGCCATCATCATCATCATCACATTCACCACACATTACCACCCGTGAGCCCTCTCCCCCGCCCGCCTTGACTACCAGCAGTGTCAGTTGGTACAAATTAGTGGTTATTTCGGTTCATTTACGCCATTTTGTAGATTTTCTCATAAAAATAAATATATCGTAATATACCAAATAAAAATCTTTGTTTGGCATATGCAATAAATTTTGATTATCTACATAACATTACTTGTAATTTATTCAGAATGTATTCATCATGCAGAACCTCTACCTAGGGGAATATGTCAACCTGTCGTTTGTATCATGAGTTCTGAGTGGCTGGGCACCACAAAGGAAGCGCTGAATCTGTATCGAGAGTTCTGAGTGGCTGGGCACCACAAAGGAAGCGCTGAATCTGTATCGAGAGTTCTGAGTGGGTGGGCACCACAAACGAAGCGCTGAATCAGGAGTCGAGCTTGGAGCTACATTTCTCTGAACCATCTGTGATTTTTGTTGATCAGCTGAATAAAAAACGTTTCCGATTATTTCCTGCAGACGCAACTCAGTTTTTCTGTTAGTGAGCATTTACATGTAATATCCGGTCCTTATCATTACAAGAGCGTCGGTTAGATAGAAGTTTCGATGGGGTGGTTCAGTGTCTGGGAGTCGAGCTCTCAGTTGTCACTTTGGAAGGTATCAGTACTTGCTTATGGTGTCAAATTAAGCAAAACAAATATGGCCACGCCAGCCATCCGATTAAGTGTTATTACTAAGGTTCGCAAGTGACGCTTTATATCATGTGCTTCAACACCACAAGAGGGTATGTTCGTACTGGAGATGGTTCAGTGTGTGGTGGAGATGTGGATGAACTTTAGACCAGGCACAGCCAGACGTGGAAGGAGGGAGCCGGCCAGTAGTGAGACGGTCGAGGCGATTAGTGGATGTGTGACGGAAGTTAACGTTTGCAAAATGCTCCTAAATTAATACATCCAGTTGTCAAGGATTATAAAATACAGACGCCATCATGTGTGTGTTGGTGTTGAAAAATATAAGGTATGTCGCTGTGTATATTTCCCTTACAACTTATTTCTCTCTCCAATCTATGTCAATTCGATAGCCCATTAATTGTATAGAAATGCTGATAACTGGGACTTAATTATACTGAATGATCTTGACAGCTTCACTGGGGTAGAAATCCATTTCAACGTGATTTGGTTGTAGGAGTTTAAGGTTAGGTACCAGAACAAGGCGACCACCCACGCTGATTAACCCGACCTTCTCCCCTAGACCATTAACCGGTTTAGCATTTATACGGAGTCCTTTAACACGGCTTTAGAGGATTATGAACATTAGATTAACACCTAATCGTGTCCATGATCAAACCTTATAAGTGGTTGTTCCCAGACGGCGTAATAGAGATGTCTCAACTGTGTGCATTATGCCTTCAGTCTTCATTGGTGTATTCATTAGTGGTCTAAGTGGTCTATGATTGTCGGGAACAAAATGTAAACAGCACTTTTAGGCTAAAACGTATGTAACAATATAAGCAACTAACCACTCAGCGCAGCCAAACTCAGCTCGACATTAGCCATCACGTGAAGATTAGGCATCAAATCAGATTTTACTTGTTATACACAAGTGCCACTTTTGGTGGTGAGGGTAGTTAATCTTCAGGTGATATAAGATGGGCTGCTGCCATATCTTCGTGATTTCATAATTTTATCTTGTTTAAACCAAACACGATTTCTATGAGCGTTTTAAATCCCAGTGTAAGAGGCGGTGTTACCTTGTTCACCTGACAGTCAAATATTGTAGCCAGGAACAATCAGATCCATCTTGAGTACATCAGTTGGTCACTGTGGAGGAATGGTGGTGGTGGGGAAGTGTTTATAGTGGTGGTGGTGGTGGTGGTGAGGAAGTGTTTATAGTGGTAGTGGTGGTGGCGGGGAAGTGTCTGTAGTGGTGGGGAAGTGTCTGTGGTGTTGGTGGGGAAGTCTCTGTGTTGGTTGCGGTGGGGAAGTGTCTGTGGTGGTGGTAGGTAACTCACTTGCCAACCTCCAATCACCAGTGTAAAGGTGATATTTTCGACAAGTAGAATAATATACTTTTGTGCTATAAATTATTACATAGTCAAGTGAAGTAATATGGTCAAATAAATAGTTTACTTTCCATTATCACCGTATTTACTGTTTGGAAAAAAATATTTGTGACCTTCGCAAGACACTCGCTGATATTTAAGGAAATGAAGAAGAGAAATTAAAGAATATCACTATCAGAAAAAAGGATGTTCTTAAGAAGATAAATAAATTAAAGAAGATAAAATCCCCAGGGCCGGAGGAAATTTCCCTCGAGTTTTGAAAGAGTCTAAGGAACAGATTAGCGGACCCCTCGTAAATTTATTTACAAAATCATTAGACACGGGAGTTGTGCCAGACTTGTGGAAACAGGCAAATGTAGTAACCATATTCAGAAGGGGTGACAGAACATCAGCGTCAAATTACCGGCCGATTAGTTTGACGTCAGTAGTGGGGAAATTTCTTGAATCAATTACAGCAAATAACATCCGATCGCATTTAGATTTTACCAAAAAGTCGATAATCTACTTCCCCAAAAAGTCGATAATCTACTTTCCCGAAAAGTAGATAATCTACTTTTCGGGAAAGTAGATAACCAACTTTCCCGGAAAGTAGATATTTCCCATTTTCTGTGATACAAATTTCCCGTTTTCTATGATAGTCTACTTCTTAAAAGTAGGTAATATTTTACCAAAAAGTCGATAATCTACTTCCCCGAAAAGTCGATACTTACGATCTTTTGAGAAATAGAAAAATCGTAAGTTATTTTTTTCTCTTAAGTATCTACTTTTGTTATTTTTGTCTCTTAAGTTACGACAGTTAGAAAGATCGTGTCATTTTATTTCTCATAAGTTCGAGCTTACAACAATTAAAAAGATCGTAAATTCGGATTCTCAGAAGATCGTAAGTACCTACTTTTCGGTGACAGATTTTCTACTTTTCGGGAAAGTATAATAATTGGCTCTTATCATTTTTGCCTTTGGAACCCTTTTGTTTCCAACTTTTTTATTAGGATTATTATAAACAAAGAAAAAGAAGTATTTTTTTTTTCATTTATACGACACATTAAGATATTCTACAAATATTTATTGTAATGATTGACACCAGGTTACTGCTAGGTTAGGTTGCCCTTATGGTACTACAACCTGTGTACACAGGGTCCCATAAAGGCGACCCAACCTGGATCATGCAAGGCTACCGGTGTTCCTTGGTCGACGTGTCTCACCCATCTCTATAGTAGGGGGCTCAGACAAGCCTCAGCACCCAGCCCTTGGCAGCATCACTGTCCTTAGCAGTGACAGACAGCCTTTAGTGTCATCACATAGCCCTTACTAGCTGTACACAACTACCTACTTATAAGCCCCCTAGAAGCATCATGTAGATCTTAGGGGAGAATCAATCAGCCTCCCCAGAGACACAGATAGCTCTTAAGAGCCTCGCACATCTCCCACTCCTTAGTAGGTCAGTAAGTCCTCCTTTCATTCATTAGGTCAGCTTATCCTTCCCTCATTTACGAACATCACTACATGTCCTCCCCTCATTCCTACACAATACTGAAGTCCTTCCCTCATTCCTACACAACGCTACAAGTCCTTCCCTCATTCCTACACAATACTGCATGTCCTTCCCTCAGCCCTACAGTAATCAGTAGATAAACTTTCAATACACCGTTATAATCTATTTTAGCATTTATAAAGACTAGTCGAACCAACAGTAAATATTATACACAATACAACTTCCTGTCATGTCGGGTAGACTGACTTATATAGGATATATTCATCTTTTTCTGTACACAGACATTAGGAGCATCAATTAACCCCCTCAGTCACAAGTACAGTAGCTCTCTAAGAGCCTCACACATCTCCAAGTTGATATTCACAATATAGCCACAAACAGCCTCTGGTTGGATCAGACTACCCCTGACAACCTTACATAGTCCTTAAATCCATAATACAACCACCTATGATCATCACACAGCCCTAATTAGCCAAACAGTCCGTGGCGGCGGCATACAAGCCCTGGGGCCTCACATAGCCCCTAGGAGTGACATGCTGCCTCAGAACATTTACAACAAATACAATCTTTTTTTTTTACAATTTCAAAAGTTTGCCCACAGGAAATGCTCATTGGTTACAAGCAAGTTGTAAAGCTGTAATAATAACTTAATTTTACATTAAAATCTTAAACTAACATCTTGTATTTCACTGCCAGGAAGAATAAAATATTTTGTTTTGAAATTGAAGATGAAATTAAAGTCCAAAATACTTCCTGACTGTCTAGTTACAACAGTGTATTAGAAGTTATAAGCTTCGCAACGCCACAAGTCTATATGGTCACTCCTATACAAGTCCTTCCCTCACTCAAACACCACACTACAAGTCCTTCCCTCACTCCTACACCACACTACAAGTCCTTCCCTCACTCCTACACCACACTACAAGTACTTCCCTCACTCCTACACCACACTACAAGTCCTTCCCTCACTCCTACACCACACTACAAGTCCTTCCCTCACTCCTACACCACACTACAAGTACTTCCCTCACTCCTACACCACACTACAAGTCCTTCCCTCACTCCTACACCACACTACAAGTCCTTCCCTCACTCCTACACCACACTACAAGTCCTTCCCTCACTCCTACACCACACTACAAGTCCTTCCCTCACTCCTACACAGTTCAACAAGTCCATCCCTCACTCCTACATAACATACCAAGTCCATCCCTCACTTCAAACCAACATACCAAGTCCATCCTTCACTCCTACACAACATACTAAATCCTTCCCTCACTCCTACACAATACTACAAGTCCTTCCCTCAATCCTACACAATACTACAAGTCCTTCCCTCACTCCTACATAACGTACCAAGTCCATCCTTCACTCCTACACAACATACTAAATCCTTCTCTCACTCCTACACAATACTACAAGTCCTTCCCTCACTCCTACACAGTTCAACAAGTCCTTCCCTCACTCCTACTTAACGTACCAAGTCCATCCCTCACTTCAACACAACAGACCAAGTCCTTCCCTCACTCCTACACAACATACCAAGTCCTTCCCTCACTCCTACACAACATACCAAGTCCTTCCCTGCAGAGTTAATCACCATCTATTAAGTCTCCGATTCTTGTTTTTCATTCGACTTCTGAACTGTAATAAATTATGGTCACTGTAAACTACAATTCTCTGGTAGGTGTTGCCAAGATATATGTTAAACTTTTCCAGTGCCATAAGCAGAGTCACAGCTTCTTTCTCTATTGTAGAGTGATTCCATTGCACCAGCCCCAACATCACTGGTAAAACATAAATTTTACTTACGAATAATTCAAACTCCTGTCTCTGACTCGTCCAGTTCAACACGACTTCCCCCCATCTGGCAGTCGAACCCGAGGCCTCCATCATCCACAACAGGTACCTTGCCAGTGAGCCACCATACTGTGTTCAATAGTATATACACCAGTGTCAAAAAGGGCATACATATTTTAAATTGCAATTTAGAATTTGTAATAGTCTGGAAAAGTTGCTCCAATATAAAGGATCTATTGTTTAATCTGTTAACTCAGTAATTATCAGAACCACCGCGTGATTTATCGCACTGAGACGTGAGATCAATATAAGCTGCTGTGCGGACACGGACTGACGCAGTAAGGTCTGAGGAAGGAAGACGCCCGAAAGTTTATTGACTGCCTCAGCCCTCAGAGTCGGGCTGTGAGAGAGATGCATAAACTTGGAGCTTTATAAATTTGTCAGCCCTAATTCCACGAGTCAACAGTATAGGGGAATCGACGAAAACATGACGGACCTTAAGAAATGTAAAATGATAATCTTTGTACAGGGCAATACTTTAGCGAGGATGTTCGAACACTTGTTGTTATAATTCTACTGCCCCTGCTGCAGGTAATGGACTTCCAAAGTCATTCGTAAGCTCAATTTGTTTACGTGAGGAAATGTCAAGGACGCGGGTGTTGCTGTACAGTCATTTTATTAATATCTTCCTCAGTGTACGACAAATCAGCGTCAATTTGCTCTGTTTTGACCCTGTCGATATTGGATTGTTATCAAATTTCAAACCAGAGGTACAGTAAATTAATACCGTTGAGATTCAACGAAACTTCTCGACAGGTATGAGCTCCATAAGCGTATCGCCATGGTAACACTATCTGGCACCTCGCCCTACCTCACGTCACATGGCTGAGTCCCTTATCCCAGTCTGTGGTAGTCTGTGGTAGGTGGCTGTGTAGTGTGTGACGTTCTACCCTGTTTACAGTATTTCCAGCAGCAAACGAGGTTATTTTAAAATGCCTGGATTTTAACCTTAAGAAATCTTGAATTTTAAGAGTCCCAACAATGACATCAAAGGAAAAGGTAAGCATGCCAGAGTTTCATGTTTAATTATAGATCTAGGAAGACTCTGGTCTCAACTCTAAGGTGGACTCACAGCGAGTGTTGTCACGCTTCATATAAACCATTATTGACAATGGTGCCCACTTTCCCTTATCATCATATTACCAGCACTTGATGCAACGGAAGTTTTTTTGCGTTATAAACAGTTTTAAATATATTATGGTTTAAATATAATATTTAATACACAGACCATATTTTTGGGAGTATTGTTAAACCGAATTATTGTAGTTTTTTATTAATCTGTTTTATCACATACCACTTTTCACCTTGCTAGTCGTTCGAGCGTTCGGTCTGTTACCTCATTGCAACTATTACTTTCCATTGTTAATACGAAAGTAAACCGGAGTACCCGGAGAAAACCACGCTTGTTATCTGGCGAGGATAAAATGCCTTTTATAGTCCTTGTTACCGCGCTCATTGTTGTGCTTGGTATTGAGTGCGCTATAATCAGGCAAAGCAATAATAAAAGCGTGGGTAGCCACGGTCATTTTTTTATTACGTGTGTAGCGTTCGGTGGAACACTATCGACTACTGTAGTGTCAAACACCTACCAAATATTATTATAGGTGACTATCTCACGTCTTGCCATGAGTCGTTGCTATCCACACACCCCAACACCGAGATCCTCTACCTAGGGGATTTTAATGTACTGTACATCACAGAGAGTGGCTTGGCTCTGCAAGGGATGACCCAGGTGGAGCCGAGGCACTCTTTTTCCCTACTTAATGATATGGAACAAATAATCAAACACCCTACACGTGTTCCTGATTGACACGATCAACTTGCGAACATTCTTGATCTTTGTTTTACCTCTAACCCCTCACACCATTCATACTCACTTTCTGCCCCCTTAGTGTCTTCTGATCACAATATTACTTCTATTAAATCAAACTAGGCAGGACCACCACCCCCACCCCTCTCTAAACGTCAACTATGGCATTATCGGAGGTTAAACTGGCAATCCTTGGGATGAACGTTGCTTCTCCACTCGGGACGCCTCGGTATGGGCTGACAGCATTGCTGGGGTTATACAAGGTGATACGAGGTCATTTATCCCATCTTCTACCAAAACTTTCACTTTACAATCATGGTTTGATCGCTCCTGCTCTCCTGCTTGCATGGAGAGCGATAGGGCATATCGACCTATGAAACCATCTCCACCTATTACCCACACCTCTTTCATTACTTCTAGGAATCGTTGTAAGGCTATTCTTCGTAGGGCCAAGCGGAATTTTATAAAAAGAAAGACTGCTGTCCTGACTAATTCTTCCTGTAGTAAATCCTTCTGGTCTTTAACCAAAAACATCTGTAATAACTTCTGCACTCCTTTTCCTCCTATCTTCCGACCTGATAACTCTATAGCCAACTCTCCCCCTGATAAAGCCAATCTCTTTGGCACCTTATTCTCCTCAATTCCACCTTAGACGATTCCCACTCTATCCCTCCTACCCCTGCACCTCCTACTGAACCTATGCACCTTCCTATAATCTCCACTCGGAGGGTTGCTGTTGTTATCCAGGTTGGATGTGAGTAAGGCGCATGGACCAGACGGAATACCCCCTCGTGTTCTGAGGGAGTGTGCTGAAGCTCTGGCCCCTGTGCTTGCTCGCCTTTTTTCGCCTTTGCCTCAAAACCCAAACTTTTCCTTCTTCTTGGAAGCATGCCTTGGTTCAGTCCATCCCAAAGAAGGGTGACCATTCTAATCCCGCTAACTATCGCCCCATTGCCCTAACTTCATCCCTCTCTAAGATTTTCGAAACTATCTTGAACTCCCATTTTCTCCGTCACCTTGAACGCCTTTCTCTTTTGTTGGCTCACCAGTATGGCTTTCGCCAGGCGAGATCTACTGGTGATCTGCTCTCCTGCTGCACCCATCTTTGGTCATCCTCTCTTAGGGATTATGGGGAAACTTTCGTCGTGATCCTCGACATCTCCAAAGCATTTGACAGGGTATGGCATAAGTCTTTGCTTTCTAAACTTCCCTCTTATGGTTTCTCTCCCCCACTTTGTTTTCTAATCTCCAGCTTCCTTGAAAACCGATCCATGGCAGTTGTTGTCGAGGGATCGATCTCGCTCTTTCTCTACCAATAGTGGTGTCCCACAGGGTTCTGTTCTTTCACCTCCTCTCTCCCTTCTTTTATCAATGATTTACTTCACACTACAACTAATTCTATCCATTCTTACGCTGATGATTCTACTCTTCACTCTTCTTCACATTTTCCCCTTCCCCCTAACTCTCAAACTAGATCTGATTTTAGAGCTATTACATCTCTCAATGCTGATCTGTGCAGCATCTCCGAATGGGGAGTTAGAAACTTGGTTAATTTCAATAATAATAAAACTCAGTATTTACCTATTACACTTTCCAAATTAGATGATCTCCCACCAATCACATTTCAGGAAGCTATCATTCTGCCAAATTCTAAAATAGATGTGCTTGGCCTCACCATTTCCTCTAATATGTCATGGAAGCCACACATCCTCAACATTGCTAAAGCTGCCTCCCGAAAATTGGGAATGCTGTACAGATGCCGTAGCTACTTCACCCCTGAGCAGTTGCTTCAAGTATGCAGTATAAGGGATTCATTCGTTCTAACTTGGAGTACTGCTCTCATATCTGGGATGTCTCTTTTTATTTTATATTTTTAATTTCTTTCTATTCGTATTTTTTCGTCCACTTGGCCCTATGTGGGTCGTTGACCTGTGTCCGGGTGGGCTAATCCCCGTAAAAAAAAAAGTGGCCTGTGCTTAGAATATCTTAAAATCAACTTGTAAGGATTAGGGATATGAACAGGCAAGAAACTAGTGGATATGAACATTATTTTATTTTACAATACCGCTGTCAAGGAAAACTCACTCCTTTTACAGTTATAAAGGACTTAAACAATAAGCATAACCACCTTAAAACGGGAAGAGTAATAAAAAATATAAAAAATCAGTTGAAACTAAAGAGAAATACATATTCGACGAAGCATACAAGAGTGATATTCTTTATTGTTAACTGTTGAATGTTGTGTTCAGTGGCGAAGAGGATAAAGACAAAGAAAGATAAATTTAAAGTGATACACCAGTCCCGGAGACTCGAGCAGTCTCAATGCAATGTAATGCTTGTTATATTCAACCACAGATTTTCACATTTCCCAGTTAAAACAAAAAACCTTGTTGGAATTAAACTTTTTTGTGGGTAACCTTGGTCTAATCGTTGTTTTATTTATTTATTTTTTTTTACGGGATTAACCCACCAAGGAACAGGTCAATGACCCACATCAGGGCCGGGGAGCGAAAATATAATAATAATAATAAATAAGAATAAATAATAAAAAAATATAAACTATTAAATAAAAATATCATAATAATAATGAACCATAAATAAATACAAGTAAAAAGAGAATCAATAGTGAGAAACGATATAATAATGTACTCGGTATGTTGTGTCGACAAAGTAAGAACAATTGAAACCCTGCAGTTGTGTGTAAATGGGGCAGAAAGTCAGATCAGTAACCTGTGTTGTCATATGGCAGCAGGGTCTACCTACCTTGGTAGTACCTCCCTGTTTGGTAGCTTCCTACTGCCTTAACGACCATCCTTGTGTGTGCAGTACACCCGCATTGTAGAAGCCCAATCTTTTGAATTCTAACAAACTATACGAGTTCGATACCAATATACAGTTCGTGACTGTAACCAAGGCTTGCGCAGATCAGCATTAATGCAGGTTGTCTTGAGGCCCCAGGGGGAGGTGGTTTTTGTTTAAAACTTATATCGCCACGTGATCGCTGTGTCGTCCAACAGTTTCTACGTTTTACACTGCACAGCATTATACTGTAGTTTTGTTGTTGAACGAGTCGTCGGATTAAACTAGTCATAGCATCGTACTTTTATCCATACAATATGATAATCCATTGTGATGTATCCAGTGTTTTAACTGCAACAATAAAGGCCGGGGCGGGCAGGTGTTGTTGCCAAGCGCCTTACGTTATTACATGCATGCATGTGTTGAACTAGTCAAGGACGGGTAGTGGACACCCAGCCCTGCCTTAGAACCACCTGTACCTAAACCTAGGATGTAATATTTATATATATATATATATATATATATATATATATATATATATATATATATATATATATATATATATATATATATATATATATATATATATATATATCTCACGTCATATGCTGTATAATGATAGGTGGGGTGGTTATGAAAATAATAAGTTGGGGGCAGTTTTAATTTCTCCTCCATTTCGGAATCGGGATAACCTTCTTTCGAGAGAATAACATCGTATAAGGAGTGTCCCAGCCAGCGGACGTACCCCAGGGATAAGAAATTAAAACCTTGTTTTCCTTTTGTATTGTCAAGCTCTCAAGATATGGTCATAAGTTGCATTGACATAGTCGTGGGTACAACTTCCCTTGGCGAGGCACATCCTTTTTAGATTATACAGTATTATACAGTGTTCTCAGTACTACAGTACTGGTACTGTATACACTACTGTAATGGTTGACGAATGCTTTTTACCCATATTTATAATAATAATGATAATTTAAGTAACATGTTATTCAATTCATTATTCTTCATGGTGGTTTAGATTGATAATCTTGGTTCATGATAAAGTAGCAGTAGGTACTGTAATCCTACTCAAGCAGCGAGTCTCTCGCCCTGTGTAACTTGCATCTTGTAAAGAAATAATTTCTCAGTCTATGAGTGAGGCAGGATTGGGATTTATGCAACTGCTGCTGCACTTTAGAAATATTTTTCCTTATGATGTAATGTACAAGTGTTGTTAACAAGTCTTTGATCCTTCTCAGATTAGTGATAGGGGGATGCCCCCTGAGAGGCCGCCTCCTCCATATTGCCCTGGTGCTCCACCCCCTTACAACCCTTCCCACACTGTATACCCTGCAGGGCCAGCCCCTCCAGCTGGTGCAGCACCCTATGGTGTTCCACCTCCATGGGAGGCTTTCTACTCTCCCCCACCTGCCTACCACCAGGGCTTCCCAGAAGGCTACCCAGCAGGCTATCCTCCTGGTTACCCTCCACCAAGCCAGCCTGACGGCCCGCCGATGAACCCTGGTGGATACTCCTTGTATCCTGATGTTTCACTGTTACCACAGCCAGAGGCAGGTAAATCATCCCATACTGATGTTATGTGTAATTATATACCCAACTCAAATAGAAGACCAGACCAATATGGCTTGAATGGTATTCTGTCCCATTCCAACTCGACACCACATCAACTTTCCCTGCATAACAATCTGCCCAACCCATATCCTGAACTTAGGTATGGGATTTTAGCATCACCTTCTGTACCAGTACAGTCTTACCCTGATACCCTGCTTGGAGATATTCCTTATTATGGTAGTGAAGCACCTCAGAATTTACCTACAGCACCTCCAGAACCACCTCCTCCATATGAGGCTAATTGCTTCACCCATGATTCACCTTCCACCGCCCACACCAACCTGCATGTCCGCCCAAACTACGCCCAGGCGCAACCTCCCTCTTGTGTGCACCCTCGTCCCACTTCTGGTCCTACTACCAGTACTGACACTAAACGCTTTCAGCCTCCAGGTGAGTTAACCTATATGATGTTTAACTGAGTAGGGGCAGATCCAGGGGGCTCCTGGGGGTCCAGACCCCCCCCCCCTTTTCTTAGAAAATTCCAATACTTTTTCTTTAATGCAGTCTTGTACTCAGGCATTTTTGTGTAGTAAAAAGGATTTACTATTGACTTCAGAATATCTCCTAATATCAAATGTATATGCACCTCAAAATGCTGAATGAGCTCACTGTGCTCGCCATAGTCTCTCATCTACAACTTCTTGGACCCCCTTTTGGTAGTCTTGGAACTGCCCCTGCTGAGCTTTATTTATTTGCGATCAAAAAAATTTGTAAATATCATCCAAGACCTGACATTCCTAGTACAACAATCTTGGCAAGTTCATGGATGAGAGAAGCCATTAATGTTTTCTTAATATACGTAGTATAAACAGTATAGATAGAAACCCATAAGTTAGTTTATGTAAAGTTTAATATGGAAAAACAATCAACCTTGTCCAAATGTTGTTGTATGCCACATTCCATACGTGAGAACCAACACTGCAAAATGCCTTCACTTATTGATGTTGTTGGGTTTAACAAAACGGCCAATCTGTAGAAGTTTTTGGTGGCTGCTAGAAAATTTATTGCAAAATCAGATGACATAAAAAGTTCTGCAAAATTAAAAATTATTCTAAAATTATGGCCAAATTCCTAGTTAATGATATAAGGATACTGTTCACCACTATACAGTATAGTCTGCATTTACGCGGTCAAGTGAACCCGTGGAGGTCCGCGTAAAACGAGAAACGCGTAAACGAAATAACAGAACATAAGGGATTAATTGAAATAGAGACTGGGCCGACCCCCAAACTCCACTTTTTCCCACAATACATACGTTGTCGTAAAAATAACATCTTCATTTTATGATGGCATGCACACAATTAATGTTTAAGAGAAATATCAATAATGTTAGGTTTTTTAACACTTACGTTAGTAGAAAAGATGGGTCGGCACACGTGGATGGCAGCTGGTTCCGAGGCAGAGGGCAGATTAGTTGCCCTCCGGTGAATCACTTTCACTACTCGCAGAGGTTTGCAGGGCCTCCCAGACAAACCCCTGTGGGTGGTAAGGATCGTGGCCCAATCACAGTCCGAACGTCATATGACGTGAGCAATAACGTAAGAGCGGCCTATCGCGCACTCCTCACCGCGCTAAGCTTCCCTCGTATGGTCAGAATGGACCGCGCGGAGTAAAAAATGGCGCGCCGTACGACATGAAATTTACTGCGTAATTTAACCTTCATTCTGGCAAGGCACAGCGTAAATGACCAAACGCTTAAAACAAAACTGCGAAATCCAGACTATACTGTATAAATTTTGATATCATATTATGTTGAAATAATACCTTCCAAAATAGGTTCAAAGTATTTTACCTTTTGCAGTGCAAGGTGGAAGGGGTAACCAACTCCCCCAAAATTTAGTCCCCTGAATTCCTGGCAATTTCCAGCACCTGCACCACCATGCCAAAGTCCAGGGGACCCTTACATCATCGGCCCACCATTACCTGACCACACATCAACAGGGCTAGGTGCAGGTTCCACAAATAATATCCTATTAGTAATCTTGATTATTAATGAATTAAGTCACCAGTATGTGGAAATGACCATAAAGCAGTGGTGATGGTGCATACATGACACTTATATCTTTTTTCTTACTTTCAGAATTGTAGGTACACCTAAGGTGTTTCCCTTTAACTACCCACAGAATACGAATGAACTTCCTAAAGGAGGGAGAAGCTCCTGGTTGTAGGTGTGGCATGGAGGGGTGGGGAAGGGCCTCAAGGTGTTTTTTTCTACAGCAAGAGGGACACATTGTCTTCCCTTACAGACTCTCCTGATGACCATCTACAAAAAGATTGGTATGGTGGAAGAAGAAATTGCTTATTATATACTGTCAGCCCTGTATATGTGGTTTCTAAATCTTATTGGATCCTATAGAATAAATGTAATTACAGTTAACCCCTCCCATTAACAAGACTTCTCAATACCAGGTGTTCTAATCTGGACTTTTGTATCACAAAAACTGGTTTTTTTTTTGGGGGAAAAACGTCTTTTTTGTCTGGTGTAATTGTACCGAACCAGTAAATTCTGTTAATGTATAAATTTCGCCGTCTGAATTATATTGTCCTGTATTAAATAAATGTTGCAAAACAAAAAAATTCAATAATAGAATATATTAGTAATAAAAAGATAACAATGAATTTACTCTCAAATACTGTATAATGATGATAATGAGAAGAGAAGGATGCTATAACAATGATCATTATAATCTCTGCAAACTGTCTAACAGATAAGCAGTACAGTATATATTATATGTCTATGAAATAACACAACCAGACAACCATCTATCAGTATGTCACATGTTTAAATACATGGAATCCATATATGTCCAGTACTGTACTTATAGCAATGCTTAACAAAGACATGATTTGAATCTGCCCCAGCAAAGAGGATAAAAGTAAAAAAGCAAATGGCCAGGAGAAAAACACATAATTGTTTGGGAACATGATCATGAGTATTATGATTGCAAGTAACCTAGACTGCACATGACCTTGGGGATGCATTTGTATATATTAATCGGGGAAAAGAATGGAATGCTCTCTCATTAATGGATATGGGTCAGCATGAACTAGCTGTCCAGTATGTGGAGGGTTTACTGTATATTTCTTCCTGATCTTTTGGTTGCAAATTATGATTTTGCTGTTGTAATTGCATATACGTGACTGTACTTATAGTAATAGAATATCACTAGTAATTTTGCTGACCTGAGCTTCAGTTTCCTTGAGATTTATTGCTTGAGTTGTGGCTTAGAGAAAGGAATGGGGCTGGTTGGCTGGATCATGTTTGTGGCTGGTGGATGGGAAGTCTCACCATGCCAACTCTTAACTCATATTTAGTTCTCGCAGCTCTTGAATAAGTACATATAAGAACATTTAGGATTATTTTACACTATTAGGTTGCAGTTTTTGACAAAGGAAGTAATATACATGGTGTAGATGTATTTGTAGTAGAGTACTAGACATTATGTACCAGAAATTCATCCAACAGTCTTCCACTAGGACAATTCATCCCATCACTCACCTACCAATGCTTCTTTGTTTGCTAAGACCTTATAAAAAAGGTACAAAACCACAAAATAATATGAATAGTTGCATTAAACTTTTACATATTGAGGACAGTAATACTGTACAGAGACAGAACCGACGAAAGTTTTGGCACACGCTTGTAAGCGAGATCAGACAAGGTTACCGATATGTTCATTGTTCTTATAAATTTGATGGAATTTTTATCTCTACTTTTTATTGTCAATGGAATTACAGGGTATAATATTTATTAAATTAATATTTTTTGTGTCCGTTTATAATGCATATCTATTTTTGGGACAAGACTCTTTATAGGAGGTTCAAGGTAATTACTGGCACCTTGTATCATATTCAAGGTCACTCAAAGCTTACTTTTAAGGTACTGTAATAAGAAAACATTTTATCCTTTCATTAACTTGAGATTGTAGCGATGAATTACTAAAACTTGCAGAGGAGACTTATAGTACAGTACAGCACTAGCAACATGTACAGTATAGTAAAGGTTTAGTTTTTCATAATATGACATACCCCTCTGTAACCAATCTTTTATGTATTCTTTCTCTTGATTTTGAAGGTTCGTATACATTCTACAGTACATGTACTTATTTCTAGGATTTGCCAAATTAACTTGCTAATTGTAGAGATCTTAAAACTGTAGTTCTCAACGTGGTGAAGAAGAATCATGTCCTACAAATTTTTTCTATTTTGATCATGTTTTTTTGAATAATACAACTTTGTTGACACACAAATTTTTTGTAGGTGGTGAAATTCCTTTGTGAAGGCAATGAGAATTTGGTGGAATGGTGGAGGTTCCTGGTTGCTGGCGACTGAGATTGACAGGCTCCACCCATGTTCTTCATACATCTGAGAATGCTTACATCTTTAATGATAACTAACCTGCCCAAGTAAGTTCCAGATATTCCTTAAGTCAAATATTTCAAATTGCTAAGCTATTGGTTGAAAATGATGTTTTTTTTATTCTATGGATTGCATTTGGGTTCTTGATGGAAAGAGCTTTATGTTTACTTTGGAAGGTGCTACTAATAAGAGGCCTAGTTTTAGATTTGGGTAAGAAAAATGACTAATCAAATCTATAATGAAGGAGCTTTTGTGTCAATGTATTATACTGTATATGAATAAAATGTTTCCTGGTCAAGAGACTGTTTGGTTTTAGGAAAAATTTTGAGGCACTTTACATTGTTCTTTCTTTTCAGATCTGCTCATTTTGGGATGTATTTGAAGCATCCATTTGACACAATTTTTCTCTTTGTTTCTGAGCTATTTCAGATCTTGCAGCTCACCTGTGGGGTCCTATAAGCCATAAAAAAGGAGGCATTGAAGCATGGCATGCCATTTAATGGCTTTATGAACAAAGCGTAGTGACTTTGAGGGGTTTGAGGAGTGATTAAAGGACTTCCATATAGTTGAGTTGGTTTTGAAAATACGTGAATCCTGGAAGAGTTGAAGACTTTTAATCTGAATCCTCACCAAATCAAGAGATAATCACTGGTTCAGACTAAAACTGGATTCAGCTTGATGAGATGACTGATTGGAACATTGTCAGCCTTTTGAATGTTTTCAAAGGCTCAGAACACTTGTACAATATTAGGAGGGAATAAATACGTTAAACCCCTGATGACTTGAAGCAGAAAAATAAGGGATTCCAGTGAGAGACAGGGACAAATTCAGTTTTGTGGATGGCATTGAGTGTGAACCTGTTTAAGACCATATTGACCAACACTTCAGTAAGTTCAGATACATTCTGAGCCAGTTATGGCTGCGCAGCACGGTCAATAGTGCTTAACAGACATGACTGACCACCCAAGTGGCTAGCAGGCCACTCACTGACAAAGAGGATGGTGCTAAAAGCAAAAATAATGTCTTATTACTTAAAGTCATCCCACCACTAAGACCATGTTCCTTATGCAATGGTAGGCTCTGGCTGTTGAATGGTGGTAAAGTATTTCTTAGGAGCCATCTTGTTCTGGGTCCTCAATCAGTCCCCCATAATGGGATTTGTGCCTCAGTTTCCTGTTGAGTAATGGATGCATAGAAGAAAATTTAATTCTCTAAAGGATATTGTATGTTTTGCCCCAAAGCCATAATTATATGATGTACTTTTGCTATTTATAGAGCGGTGGTGGTGCTCTCGAGTTACCTGCTAATGTATCCAAGACAATGGAGGCTGATCTCTCTTTGGCCCTCAATGAATGAACTTAACTGACCTGAGGGATGAGGAAGAGGGTGTTGTTGGCAAGATTGTTGGCATATGTAAGCAACAGGTGAGCCAAAGGTTAGATTTAAGCACATACACATAATATGTACCTGTAGTTATACGGTGCACAATTCATTTGTATGGAGTGAAACCGATCGGTGGTGAAGAGGATAAAAGGAATAACATTTTTTCCCATCAAAATACTCCCCAAAACATTGAGAGAGGCACAGGGCGTGGTGTGTCTGTGCGGAGAGAGAGAAGGTGCCAATGGAGGATGGTCTCAAGGTGTAAGAGGCAAGTGAATGTGCTTACAGAAATAAGTTTTGAAACCATAATGTAAATCTTGTATATGAAATATGAAAAAAGCCACACCTGTTTTCTGTAAGTGTCAAGAATCGTGCATTTGCAAGGTATAGCAGTGTTATTGCCACTGACATGCTGCTGGATGTATGTGATGTGACAGTTGGATCGAAATGGCTAGTAATTGGTAATTTAGACTTTCTACTACAGTATTCAGTCCTTAATCAGTTTTAGCGTACAATCAATATTCATGTTTATTGACCCCACCAAAAGAATGGTAAGAGTTTGTATGCAGTTTTACCCATCCAAACTCTAATATTTCTACCGTACTTTATTTTATTTTAATGTAACTTATTATCTTATGACTAGACATTGCTGGAGATGGAAAGGTATCCATTGACTGGGGTTTCTTGATGCCACAACACTTGGGTGCAGTTTAGTAAGTGAAATGAGTAATGCAGCAGTACTTAACACCAAGCAAAGTGAAAGACAATGAATGATTGGTGACAAATTGAATTAGGTTTTGGTCCAGAAGTAATCAATTTTATTGGAAATTTTTATATGGAGAAAGAGAATATTTGGAGAAAAGTGGCTCTAATTAAATTCATTTGCTGTACTGTAAGGTAGGCAGGAGATGAGGTAACAGTAATCAACAAAATTGACACTCAAACCTGCATGTGAGTTGTTAAAACACACAGATCTGTTAGTCCATATCTTGTACAGTACATTATAATGTTTGATGACCTCGCCATCTTTTTCCAGTGTAATAATCGATCTGACAAAGAAGTTGAACACGTGTAGTGAAAAGAAATAGTTCCTGGTGCAATACAAG